ATGCTAACAATCCTTGCCTAATAAGTGTATTGTAATGGGATAGAGAATAAGACAGAGAATATCTTATTGCCCTTATATAAATCCATGGTAGGCCCACATCTTAAATACTGTGTACAGATGTGGTCTTCTCATCTCAAAAAAGATATACTAGCATTAGAAAAGGTTCAGAGAAGGGCAACTAAAATGATTAGGGGTTTGGAATGGGTCCCATATGAGGAGAGATTAAAGAGGCTAGGACTTTTCAACTTGGAAAAGAGCAGACTAAGGGGGGATATGATAGAGGTATATAAAATCATGAGTGATGTGGAGAAAGTGAATAAGGAAAAGTTATTTACTTGTTCCCATAATATAAGAACTAGGGGCCACCAAATGAAATTAATGGGCAGCAGGTTTAAAACAAATAAAAGGAAGTTCTTCTTCACATGGTGCACAGTCAACCCTGTGGAACTCCTTGCCTGAGGAGGTTGTGAAGGCTAGGACTATAACAGGGTTTAAAAGAGAACTAGATAAATTCATGGAGGTTAATCCCTAGCCTCTGTTTGTCAGAGGGTGGAGATGGATGTCAGGAGAGAGATCACTTGATCATTACCTGTTAGGTTCACTCCCTCTGGGATACCTGGCATTGGTCACTGTTGGTAGACAGGATACTGGGCTGGATGGACCTTTGGTCTGACCCAGTATGGCCATTCTTATGATTTTTAAAATAATTTTTTAACTCGAAGTTTTCTTAGACTGCCTAAAAACCTCTACTTGCCCAGAAATAATACGTTAGAAAATCTTCAATGCCAGTGTTCATCATGCATTGTACTAACCAATCTTATCTATTATCTTAGGTCTCTTATGCAGAGATAGCCAGTTTTTAAAACCACACTGGTTTTGCAACCCTTGCTTAATGAATTGATTGGTGTACAATAGTCAAATGAAAAGTGAATGTGGCATCTTTGATGGAACTGAATTAAAGATATGCTATATCAGTACTTTACCAAGGATCTTAGAACACGTAATACTTCAGGAAACAGGTTAAAATATATTTTTAAAAAGGAATATCCTAACCTGTGTTATTAGTATTGAAAATATTATCCTAATCGGTTACCAATTGTTCCAATTATTAAAATTGAAATGAAAATATATTAACCATTTATGCCATTTTTATTGTTCTGTTTAGCTTGGTCAATGATAAGATAGTCAATTTAACTTTCTGATTGTCTACAATACTAGCACAGAAATGGACAGTTTGGTAGCTAACACTGCACAGAAATGTGAACAAAAAAGGTTTCACTGACATTGTTAAAAATGAATGAGAGACTACCTAATAATGGAAGTTTTCCTAAAAGCATCTTTTAAAAATAATAATGCTGAGCATAAACTACCATGAAGCTAGGGATAGTTTAAGTTAGGAGAAAACAGGGTATTGTAATTTGGAAAAATAATATGATTAGCTGAGAACTCTTATCAAATTGCTCATGTTGAACATCTCAGAAGTTGTCTTTGCACATGACACAGCACAAATATGTTGGGAAAGATTGAAATTACTATTCAAGTTAGTGTTTACAATGTCAAAATCCCATCTATTTCATTTCATAACCAGATAGCTTCATTTGTACAATTGTTTTTAGGGCTCTATTTAAATAAATAGATGTGTATCTCAGAAATACTGTACTCTGGATTCAATCAGCTGCTTCAGCAAGAAGTCAACTGGCTCATGGAAGCCATTTTAAAGCAATGCTCACTCTACACCATCATTCAGAGATGTGTAGTGGGATCAGGAGATGGAGCTCACTTTCTGCTGCCAGCCATAAAACCTCATCAGGCCGAATGTGTGTCCCCCTTCCTCATCTGAGGGCGGTGCATTAACTTTTTACCAGGCTACTTTCACAGGAGCTGGAACTAGAGTGCAGCAGCACCCCCTGGCTTGAAGTGGTTTCCATCATAAACAGGATTTAGTTTTGTTCAATGCCCTTCAGTACCACTACTATAAAAATTGTTCCAGCACCACTGGCTACCTGTTTTGCAGAAGGGGAGTGAAACCAAAACAAAATGAAACTAACAATTGCCTCCTGGCATGGATTTATTTTTGTGTGCAGCTGATCCCTTCTTTGTAGTGGTTGTCCTTATAAAAAGCTTTAACTATCTCCCTCGCTGTGACATCAACCAGAAGAGCCACACCACCTATGTATGTCAACCTGAGTAAGACTGTGATGCTAAAGTTACAGCGTTTAGGAAACTACCTGCAAGAGACACAACTTACTTAGCCTTCAGCTGGCAGCTGCATTGCTGAAAAACTACCAAGTAAAAGCCCCCTATGTCTGACAAGAGAAGAAAATTTAATACATAAACCATTTTTTAGTTCTCATTAAAAAAAAAAACTTTTAAAAATTGTCCAAATAAAGGCCTTAATCCCATTGAACTTCAAAGTTAATTGAAGCAGGTCCTCAGTTGCACATGAAGGGGGTAAGACTGAAGAGTTTAATAAATTAAGGCCCTAATTCAGCAAGGTACACAAGCATGTGCTTAACATTAAGAACTTGAGTCTATTGAAGTCAGTGGGATTACTCTGTTAGGCAAGTGCTTACGTACCTTGCTGAATTGGTACCTGAAACCCTTGGGTCAACAGAACAAGGGCTGTGACAAGGCAAGCTGCCTCACACTGCCCAATTAATATATCTTGAGAGACTGCTTTTCTAAGGAGCAAGAGAGTATTTTGACTTCCATGTTCATCTTTGACCCTTCTGTCAAGATAACTGGGTGTTAATTCTGGTTGTATTTTTTGTAATGCTAGCCCATGCACAGAGCTAGAGTGAGACTACCAAAAAAATCATAGGCTGTATTTACACTAGGGAATCTTTTGGGGGTGGGAGCTGTGTGTGTGTGTAAATCCTACCAGTGCTACCCTCAGTTCATCTGCACCCAGCAGGAGCTGTAGTGTAGGCAAGGCTTTCAAGGCTTCCAGTATTTTCACCATTGTATCAGACAAACCTGGTTAAGACCCTGATTCAGCAAGATACATAGGCATGTGCCTAACTTCAAGCATCTGATTAGTACCATTGATGTCAATGGGGTTGCTTACATTCTTAAAATTAGGCACATCTTGAAGCACTTAGTTGAACTACGGCAGGGGTGGGCAAACTTTGTGGCCTGAGGGCCACATCTGGGTATGGAAATTGTATGGTGGACCATGAATGCTCATGAAATTGGGGTTGGGGTACAGGAGGGGGTGCGGGGTTGGGGTGCAGGAGGGGGTGCGGGGTCTGGCTGAGGGTGCAGGCTCTGGGGTGGGGCCAGAAATGAGGCGTTCAGGGTGCAGGAAGGGGCTCCGGGCTGGTGATGAGGGGTTTGGAGTGCAGGAGGGTGCTCCAGGCTGAGATCGAGGGGTTCGGAGGACGGGAGGGGGATCAGGGCTGGGGCAGGGGGTTGGGGCATAGGAGGGGCTCAGGAGTGCATGCGCCGGGTGGCGCTTACCTCAAGCAGCTCCCGGAAGCAGCGGCAGGTCTCCCCTCTGGCTCCTATGTGGAGGCATGGCCAGGCAGCTCTGCGCACCGTCCCCACAGCTCCCATTGGCTGCAGTTCCCGGCCAATGGGAGCAGTGGGGGCAGCACGCAGAGCCCCCTGGCTGCCCCTAAACATAGGAGCCGGAGGGGGGACATGCCGCTGCTTCTGGAAGCTGTGGCGCGTGCGTGCGCGTGTCGGCCCCTGTCCCTGCTCCCTGGCTGGAGCGCGGCAAGCCCCAGACCTCGCTCCCTAGCCGGAGCTCGAGGGCTGGATTAAGTTGGCTGGTGGGCTGGATGTGGCCTGTGGGCCATCGTCTGTCCACCCCTGAACTAGAGTCTTAATCAACACCATGGTAAAAACACTAGAAGCCTCCAGAGCAGGGGAACCAGTGATAAATCTGTGGAAAGAATCTCTTTCCTAAAATTCCCTTGTGTAGGCAAGGCCATAGTTAGTATTAACTAGCAAATCACTATTAACATGGTCTTGAACCATTTTGACCTGGAGATGAACAGCTGTTAATCCTATTACCAAGTTTACTTACCATAACAATTAACTGGCTGACTACACGTACATCCTATTTTATATATATATATGTATACACACACACACACACACACACACACACACACACACACACACACACATATATATACACACACACACAGTTGTCCTGGCCTATTCATGTTTTGTCAGTGCTAGTTCCATTTATTCTATACAGTTATATAACATGATTTTTCAAAAGTTCAATAATAGAATAAATACACCAAAATTATCAATGTCTTTCCTAATGAGGTCTACTGACAAATTTTTAAAAACAGGTGAAAGACTGTGTTTTAAAGCATCAAGTAAAACATCAAATAATGTAAGCAAAATGGACTAGAATGAATGGCACACATTTTCTATGCCATTGACACTAAGAACATTGTGCTTTCTTGGTATGGCAATTTCAATTCAAACATTGATTTTAAAGTGTACAATACTGTTAAGTATGTTGAAAAATCTTATTTAGCCTTAAACTATTAGAACTGTAATTTAGCCATGTTTCATACTGTATGGGGAACTCTCATTGGTATCAAAGGGATTTTTAAACAAAGACGATGATAGGATATTTAATCTTTTTCCTGTATGCCAAACAATTTTTGCCTGTGCTTTATATTATTCTAGCAATAAAAAAAATAATCTGCCTCTTAATTTTTTTTGTTAAGATAGTATGTTTAAATATATCTTTGGCGTTGATAATTTCATAACATCTGTAGTGCATAATCTCAGCAACTGCAGAATATGAAAGAAAAAAATATTTTTCTTGTTTTTCCTTTCAGCTTGCTTTAATAACTGATCCATATTGCATAAGAAATATTTTTGCCTTTGTGTTATGGAAGCATAAATAACAAGTAGCAGAGCTAATTCTAGGGCTTCTGTGATTCAGAAGTTGGTTGTCTTTTTTAATTGAGTTAGTCCACAAAACTTGACCTATTGTATCAAGAGAAGGAGCACCCTGTCAGTCATCTGCTCGTCAAAGGAGTTTTAACATAGCTGACCATGTGTCCTAAATTTTTGTTGAAATATTTTGTTCTTTGAACTGTTCTTGTTAAATTACAAAGTGAGTATCAGCAACTCACGAACTGCACAAACTAATGCTGCAGTAAAGCGCGCGTGTTTTGTTTTTTTACAGACAGTTTTCTGACAAAGCCGTCTGCTATTCTAAAGACAAGGGCACTTTGGAATTCAATGCGAACCTTAGAAATGATTCTGACCATTACGTAAACATTGGAATTTAATAAATAACACATTTTGTATGAAAAAAACAAATACACAAATTTCTTTAAAAAAATATTACCTTACACCTAAAAAAAAAAAAAAGGCAACTCCTCCTAATTCTCATAAATATACAAATTGTGTTTAGGTTGATGCTGGTAGAGTCCATTTTTAAACAAAATTGCTGTACTCCATTTCTTGTCATCCTTTGATGACATTTTGCTCCTTTAGTCTCAGAGATGGTGCTGAGGCACTATAATATGGTGCCTTCTTGAAAAGCTTCTATCCACCTGTTGGAAAGAGAAATATTGTTAGATTTGGCTTGATCTTGGGTTTTATTTAAATTTTTATCAATACATTTTCAAATATGCAACAGTTCAAAATTTCACTAATCCATTAAAAAGCATGTGGTTCACCACTATTAAATGGCCTTAAATCCTGCATTAGGTTTAGATAAACAACAGATATGGCAATGTAGCTAGTGCTACTGAGCATTATGGAAATGCTTTCAAACTGTACTCTCATGGGGGTAAAGACTGTCTTCATTTGTATTTGGGAAGCACCTATTAGGAAATTAAGCTGTGAAGCTCTAGCAAGGCCTATTGAGCATGTGAGAGCGGTGATTTTTCAGGGGTTTATAATTTGGCCAATTTTTGGTCTCTTTGCACAGGGACAGTAAAAGGCACATCCCTGACACAAAGGCCACCTCCCCTGGCAAACTGCAAGGTAGAGGTGCTAGAACTTCTCAGATGTCACCAGAATTAACATGGGCAAAACAATGTATTTTACTCTAGCGTTGTTCTCAGAAAGAGCTGAGCCTGTTTTGGCTGAACTGTTTGACTGAACTTTTTCCAGAAAAATTCAGCCTGAGGCAGACACCCAGCATGGAAAAGTCCAGACTAAACGGTTAAAGTTTCGCAAAGTTATAAGCAACTAAAAACAGGATCTTATAATAGCAAGTAATGGATAACCTTAATAATATCTGTGACCTCACTGACAAAGTGTCTCATCTCCTGCACATAGCACTAGCAGGTTGTCATCTTCTATCAGTTACTCTGATAGTTGGTTCCAACCCTGCTGATGACCCACATGGGTGTCAGTATGCTGCCATATGACACAATTTCTGATTTTTCAGTTTGCTTTTTTAGAAACCTAGAAAATTACACACACACACACACACACACACACACACACACAGACAAAGCTACATTAAAAGAACATTATTAAGATTGCACAGTCAAGCCCTCAAAAATTAAGAAAAGTCAGAATTATGGTTGCCTCTGCAACCTTAATTTGGCCTCCTTATATGTATGCATTACAATAGTCTTTAGTTACATGTTCATATATTATTTTTTCCACAGCACCCTTGATTCACTCAGTTCATAGGATGGACCAGCTCTGGGGATGATTCAAAGTTGTGCAGTGAAGGAGACTGTTGCTTCATTTGTTGCAGAAATGGGAAAGAGTGTAATTAATGAAGCAGGAAAAGGATGTTTTCATGGTCAAGGCAGCTGAATGCTTCTCTGGGGAACTAGATTATATCCATCTCTGCCACAGAGATCCTTTGTGATGCTAGGCAAGTCATTTAAACCAAACTTTTCATAGGTTGTCACTACTTGTGTTCTCATTTCCTGGATACTTGACTTGAGTCTCTGGGGTCCAATTTGCCGAAGTGCTAAGCACTTATAGCTGCAATTGAAGTCAATGGGAGCTGTGCTTTTAACAGATAAAGTGCTATATAATGCTAAGTCCTCCAAAAAATCAGGTCCTAGGCATCTCAAATTGGGCATCCAAAATTAGTGAAAACTCCTGACCTTAACCTCTCTATGCCTCAGCTCCTTATCTGTAAAATAACACCATCACTCCCCTCCCCCCCACCCCATATACACACACACCACAGGGGAGCTGTGAAAATAAAGTAATGTTTGTGAAGTGATCGCATACTATAGTGATGAGTGCCATAGAAAAGCTCATAAGGAAATTAATAACCGTCTTGAAAAAAGGGTTTGAATAGTGTGAACAAGGAGGAGAAAAAATACTGAACAGCTGCTCATTAACTGGACATCCATTTTATGAATGAGGCAGGGGTCGTGTGGGAAAAAATGTGATTGTGTAACTAAAAACTGTATCATAATGCATACGCACATGGAGCCCAAATTAAGATTGCAGAGGCAACCATAATTCTGGCTTTTCTTAACTTTTGAGGGCTTGACTTTGCAACCTTAACAATGTTCTTTTAATGTAGGTTTTTAGTACATTTTAAATATATTTATACTAGGGCTGTCGATTAATCGCAGTTAACTCACGTCAGTAACAAAAAAATTAATCACAGTTTTAATCGCACTGTTAAACAATAGAATGGTGGTTGAAGCATGAAGGGACATATGAATCTTTAGCATATCTGGCACATAAGTATCTTGTGACGAAGGCTACAACAATGCCATGAAAACGCCTGTTCTCACTTTCAGGTGACATTGTAAACAAGAAACGGCCAGCATTATTTCCTGCAAATGTAAAAAAACTTGTTTGTCTGAGCGATTGGCTGAACAAGAAGTAGAACTGAGTGGACTTGTAGGCTCTAAAGTTTAACATTGTTTTGTTATAGAGTGCAGTTATTTTTTTGTACATAATTCTACATTTGTAAGTTACACTTTCATGATAAAGTGATTGCAGTACAGTACTTGTATTAGGTGAATTGAAAAATATTATTTCTGTTTTTTACAGTGCAAATATTTGTAATAAAAAATAAATATAAAGTTAACTTTTTTAATCGCTTGACAGCCCTAATTTATACACCCACTCCTTGAGTTCAGACTTCTTTCTGCTCCTAGACTGTCCTCCAAACCATCAAGCTTAGTTTTTAGATAGCCCTAAACTAGAAGAGATGTTGTTTGTCAGTCTTGGCAAGTCTTAATCTTTTCTCAAGACAAACAAAACTGTAGTTTTGTCAGTTGCCGCACAGATATATAAGCTTTTTTGGTTTCTTTCCATTTATCATCTGAATTGCTTTTTACCGTATTCTCTCCAATTTAACAATATATTCAAATAAAGATGACCAATGCAATTCAGAATAAATCACACCAAATTAATAAATACCTTGACAGTTAGAATAAGCACATTATAGGAATATCAGAGCTATTAATTTTCAAGTTAAATAACTTTACAGTGAGCCTTATATTAAAATTTTATAAAAAATAAGTTACTAAAATTAATGAACCTCATGTTACTTGTGAAGTGAATGAAAAATCTGTGTAATGTGTTATACAAATACCAGTGTTAGATGTTTCTTCATTAGGGGTTAAGAATAACATAAGAGAGAGGGGACATTAAATGGGGAACACAAGCAAAAAGGTTACTTTTTAATACACCGCTACCTCAATATAACGCGACCCGATATAACACGAATTCGGATATAACGCAGCAAAGCAATGCTCCGGGGGGGTGGGCTGCACACTCCGGTGGATCAAAGCAAGTTCAATATAACACGGTTTCACCTATAACGCGGTAAGATTTTTTGGCCCCCGAGGACAGTGTTATATCGAGGTAGAGGTGTACTGTCAGAGGAGCATTTATTCCACTGGTTTGGTTTTGACAGAAATCTCTATGGGATATTAAATATTTGGGGGAAACTTGCTTTGTAAGGTAATTAATACTAGGATCTCAGCATCAGTAAGAACAGACTATTGCTGGTTACTAGTTTTCCATCCGGTTACAAAAGCCATTGTCTGAATAGGGAAGAAAGTAGTTATAAATTGTTTATAAGTACAAATAAGGGCATAGTGCAAATATAAAATGACATCTGTGTTAACTAACAAGGAGGGACTGATCAAACTGCATTTGCAAGGAAGAAAATATTCCCAGATTTTTGAAAAACGTATTATGCACGTGCTCAGTTAGTTAATTGCTCTGGACATTTAAATTACATTTTTGAAATATTCCTATTTATAGCATTTACAAACAACTTCAGGATTAACTGCATGCTTAAAACATTCTATTGGAATATTTAGCGCTATAATGGCTACTCTGTTACAAGTAAAATTAATTCTGGGAAATTGTTGTGAAACCAGACAAAGCAACCAGCCAGATCTATTAGCAAGATACACTAGATGTATTTGCATAGTCACCTCTCATTTTGCTGCTTGCAGTAAATCCTAAAACTTAATCAAATAAGGACCACAAACAAAGTCTCTATATAATTCCAGTAAATACAGGTAAATCATTCTGCATCTAAAATGAAAGAGTATACTAACCAAACTTAATTTGCCATGCAAAAATCTATAGAACCTATAAATCTAGCTGGGAAGAAAAGAAATAATTAAGATATAGACCCAGTTTACTGTTAAAAATTTCCTGAATTAATGCATGTCATTGAACTTTATTTTAAGCAGATTTAGAGATGAAGGAATTAAAATAAAACAGCACAAAATGCCTCCTATTTTAATCCTTTGGAACTATGGTGGTACATGACTAGAGAGTTCTTCCATAAAGGTTACACTTTCCTTTCCTCTTATCCTCACTTCTCAGCCCAATATGTAGTCTGCTTGTCTTTTTGAAGGCTTTTGAGTGAAAGATGACTGACTCCACTCACTTTTGATTGCTGTTTGACAAGGATCTGACTGTAAATCTCCATGAAACCAATTATTTTATATTTAAATGTAACAACGGAAATTACAACATTATTGCAATCCTTAGAGATTTTTGATGTTTAACCAAGCATTTTTTAAAAACAAGTTGCACATTATAAGTGAGCTTTTTCATGTGAGCGCGTACTGAGTGAACATTAATGAAACGACACCTGAAACATTCCATGGGAAAAAAGTGACAGGACTGAATTCAGATGGTTACTTACTTTTGAGCTGAATGAGGATCGTCGGCTTTGAATATGTAAAATAAAGTGTTTTTGTGCAGTAAATGGAATACTTTAGACTCGGAGTTTTCATCCTTTACTTCAGAGACTGTGAAACCCAGTAAAGGCTGACTCTCCAGTGCAGCAACATCCTAATTTAAACACACACGCACAAAATTAGATCTTATAATATTACAGTCCTAATGTATTTTATAAATCTGTAAGCACCACACTATTGCATCCAGTTATTTTAAGTTAATAATTTACAGTTCGTATTACACAAAACTGTGTTTCTTGTCATTTCCTCATACATGATTTAATGAACAAGAGACAGCAAACCTCGCAGATTTGGTTTCTCTCTAACTTCTTGTCACTTTCTAGTCATCTAGCACTTGACCTCTTTGTCCTGTTACAGTCTCACCACTATACTTAACACTATCTGGAATGGAACACCCTTCTTGCATCTCTTCATGTCATTTCAAATCTTGGCTTAAATGTATCCTTTTCCCCTTCTCCATACTGCTCAACTCCATCCTCCCCTTCGGTACTCTAATGTGATAACTCTATAGAGCAGTTTAGAATAGATTTTGCATGACAAACGACAAATAATAAAGTTGCACTGAACTACATCGCCAACAAGTAAGCTCCTACACTACATGCAAGTGAGATCACAGAGGAAGAAGTGCACCTAGACACTGATAAACATCTGGTGAACTCCCCAACTGATGGTTGCTAAGACAAAAGGATATGACATTTTAATCGATCAAAGTAAATCTAGAAAAAAGACTTTTCAGAAGGGACATGACGAAAGTATATAAAATAATGAATGGCCTAATGAAGGTAGATGGGAGCTTCCTGACTCATTATGCAAGAAGAGGGGGACATTCAATGAAATTAGAAGGGAGCAAATCAAAATTGATAAAAGTAAATACTTTTTTACAGAACACAGAGTGTAAAATTCATTGCCACAGGATGTTTTTGAGGCCAAGAACTTAAGATTCACAAAGGGATTAGACATTCATATGGACAACAAGAATATCCAGTTATCATAATTAATGGTAACAAAAATTTTGAAGGGATATTACTAGGGCTGTCGATTAATCACATTTAATTCACATGTTTAACAAAAAAATGAATCGCGATTAATCACACTGTTAAACAATAGAATACCAATTGAAATTTATTAAATATTATTGGATGTTTTTCTACATTTTCAAATATATCGATTTCAATTAAAACACAGAATACAAAGTGTACAGTGCTCACTTTATATTATTATTACAAATATTTGCCCTGTAAAAATGATAAACAAAAGCAAGTATTTTTCAATTCACCTCATACAAGTACTGTAATGCAATCTCTTCATCATGAAAACGCAGCTTACAAATGCAGGCTTTTTTTGTTAAGTAACTGCACTCAAAACCAAAACCTTCAGAGCCTACAAGTCCACTCAGTTCTACTTCTTGTTCAGCCAATTGCTAAGACAAACAAGTTTGTTTACAGCAACAGAGGGTCCTCTGGCACCTTTGAGACTAACAGAAGTATTGGGAGCATAAGCTTTCGTGGGTAAGAACCTCACTTCTGTGAGGTTCTTACCCACGAAAGCTTATGCTCCCAATACTTCTGTTAGTCTCAAAGGTGCCAGAGGACCCTCTGTTGCTTTTTACAGATTCAGACTAACACGGCTACCCCTCTGATACTTAAGTTTGTTTACATTTACAGGAAGTACTGCTGCCTGCTTCTTATTTACAATGTCACCTGAAAGTGAGAACAGGCGTTCGCATGGCACTGTTGTAGCTGGCATTGCAAAATATTTACGTGCTAGATGTGCTAAAGATTCATGTGCCTCTTCATGATTCGGCCATCGTTCCAGAGGACATGCTTCCATGCTGAGGATGCTTATTAAAAAAATAATGCATTAATTACATTTGTGACTGAACTCCTTTGGGGAGAATTGTATGTCTCCTGCTCTGTTTTACCTGCATTCTGCCATATATTTCATGTTATAGAAGTCTCAGATGATGACCCAGCACATGTTGTTCGTTTCAAGAACACTTACTGCAAATTTGACACCAATGTGAATTTTCTAAAGATAGTTACAGCACTTGACCCCAGATTTAAGAATCTCAAGTGCCTTCCAAAATCTGAGAGGGATGAGGTGTGGAGCATGCTTTCAGAAGTCTTAAAAGAGCAACACCGATGGAGATTCAAAAGAACCCCAACCACCAAAAAAGAAAATCAACCTTCTGCTGGTGGCATCTGACTCAGATGATGAAAATGAACATACATCAGTCCGCACTGCTTTGGATCGTTATCAGTCAGCGCCCGTCATCAGCATGGACACATGTCCTCTGGAATGGTGGTTGAAGCAGGAAGGGACATATGAATATTTAGCGCATCTGGCATGTAAATATCTTGCGAAGCCGGCTACAACAGTGCCATGCAAATGTTTGTTCTCACTTTCAGGTGACATTGTAAATAAGAAGTGGGCAGCATTATCTCCTGCAAATGTAAACAAACTTGTTTGTCTGCGCAATTGGTTGAACAAGAAGTAGGACTCTCTAAAGTTTTAGATTGTTTTATTTTTGAATGCAGGTTTTTTTTGTACATAATTCTACATTTGTAAGTTCAACTTTCATGATAAAGATAGTACAGTACTTGTATGAGGTGAACTGAAAAATACTATTTTTTGTTTTTTACAGTGCAAATAGTAATCAAAAATACATATAAAGTGAGCACTGTACACTTTGTATTCTGTGTTATAATTGAAATCAATATATTTGAAAATGTAGAAAACATCCAAAATATTTAAATAAATGGTGTTCTATTATTAACCACGCAATTAATTTTTTTAATCGCACGACAGCCCTAGATATTACGCCTCCACACCAATCTCTAACTATTGAGAGATTTGGGCAAGACCTAGTATAAGAGTTTGGAGTGGGAGGTGGGTCTTATCCCCCATCTGTCTAATATGGGGTTCTTACACCTTCGTCTGAAGCATCTGGTGCTAGTCACTGCCAGAGACAGGATACTGGACTAGATGGATTTTGTCTGACTCTGTATGGCAATTCCTAAATTCTTAGATTTGGATATAAGCATATCTACATTCGAGAACACTAAACCACTCTTGAGGAAGGAAGGACTAGATTATAAAATTCAAAGTTACCATTTGGATATGACCTCTCTGAAGAATCTTATTTCCTTACGTCTGAAATCAGCCAGGGACTCTGCAGAGAATGTCAGTAAGTTCCAACAGGGAAACAAGCTGACAGAGAGAGGCTATGTGCAAGAGTCTACGGGGAGTTAGTCCTACCAGGGTCTCCTCGTGGAAGATGGTTAAACGTGGTAAGCTAGACAGTCGGTTTTATTGTTTTTAAGATCTGATTTCTCTGAAATGCTTTGTTCCAAACAGAGGATACTTTGCTTTAAGGAGGCTGTTTGGTCACTGATTACCACTTCCATTGCCGCATAAAATACAGGATTGCAGAGTCTGGGCGTAAATCAGACCTGCTGAGGCAATTTACAATTGGTACCAGGGAACTACAACCCAGGGTCTGGCCTGAGAGTGGGAGAATTGCGTGATTCTATCCAGAACCAGGTGACAGCTAGCAGCCTGACACCTGGGAAGAGGTGCTCTTAATGAGACCAGGAGTGGTCAGAGGTGCAATTTGCCTGGTAACTGTGATGGATGGCAACTGTGCTTTCTATATTTTGCTCCATAACTGACCTATAAATAATTACAAAAGCTTTAAAAAAACCAAGAACACCTGCTTGTCAGCAAGCTATTTGGACAATATTGTAAAGAGGTACTGTATATGACAGATAGTTGATAAACCCCCATCCTTCCTTAGTCTGAGCTGAGATTTATGGCACTCACATCCATGCTTCAATAAGATTAAAACATTGCTGAGCAAAATGGATATGGCATAAGCGTTGTCACATTTCCTCTTTTCTATCTGGAGCACCAGGCATTAGGAGACTGTTGCAGAGTGGAGGAGGCAGGCTGAGAAGCCAGGTGTATTCAAGTCTGCTCTCTCTCCAAACATCCACACGTACATCAGGTGGAAGCAACAAGCTGAGATGCTCCAATGTGCTTGCATGCTGTTGGCATCTGCCATTATTCCAAACTGATGCATCAAAACAGATAATATCTACTTGTAAAGGTCACTATTGTGACTCACTTAGTTTCCCTTTCAGAAAGGGGCATCGTCTAGTTAACAGCTGAACACCTTACAGATTTTTCCACCTCTTTACTGCCGTGAGATGGACTAATTTATGGGTCTCATTACTGAGCACTACTTTAAAATATGTAAAAAAAAATTCCATGCTTCCTTACCTCACTAGCAGCATATGTGTATAGCACCTTATTTTTTATGACAAACCACAGGTGTTTCCATGGTTTTTTGCTGCCCTTTGATCTATATAAATAGCCACTCATTGAGGAGTCTTCTGTATTTGCCGAAACCTGAAATAAAAACAAATGGAGGATGTGTGTGGGTACCTGGCTTTTTCAGTGCACAGCTCTTTGTTGATATTTCTAAGACACTCCTATAAACCTAAATACTACTAGGGACACCTAGACCTCTCTCTAAGCACCTAGCCCTCTACATAATTTCTCCTGAAAAGAAACTGATACAGGTTTTTATTCAGCAGAGACCATGAAAATAAGTACAGCATAAACAAGTCAAAGGAAACCAACTATGCTCAGCACTCCATCCCATGGTTTTTTTTAGGTACTATATCAAGAGAACCGGCTGTTGCAATTGCTGAGATATAGACGGTCTCTTTTGGCAGTACAGGAGTACAGTTCAAATATGCCATAAATAAGATTCAGCCCTTAACAGATTAACATTTTAGGCTATGCTGTATAGCCTTCAAGGATAACAGCTGCATATTTTCCTCTGAGGCCTGGGAAATCTCTGGAACCAAGTTTACCAGATGTGAAGACAGCTATAATTGAAGAGCTTGATTTGCTTCAACATCTGGGCCTTTTTAAAAAATAATTGGTAAGCAGGTAGAGCATATTTCCATAAAGTATCATGAAAACAAAAAAGTATAGGATTTCAACATTTTTCAGTATGTTTAAAGAGGAAGATATACCAAAAAGATCAGTGAAAATGATCCCAAATTTACAATTCATACTTGGATAGCAACTGTGAAAAAACGGGACAGGGGTAGGGGGTAATAGGCGCCTATATAAGAAAAAGTCCCAAAAAACTGGACCTTCCCTTTAAAAACGGGACATCTGGTCGCCCTATACTTGGAGAAAGCAAAATTAAAAAAATTAGAGCTTACTTGTGAAAGAGTTAGCAGATCTGTAAGAACAAATTAAACTACCGTTCTATCACCAGCACCTAAGAAATCATATCTCCAGGAATACATCTATATTGGTAAATCCCTGAGCTATTAGGGGTGAGGCAGGTACAGGCCTGTCTGAAATGCTAGGACCCCCTACCCCCAAAATCCCCCCTATGATTTTGAGGCAGATACTTCCCACTCTGTCACAGTTAAGCCTTTCACCCAAACTGCATCAAAAGTGCTGTTCAATGTTTAACTGCTGAGTGCCAAATTATAAAAGAGAAATTAAAGCAACTGTCTTTAAAACAGGAACAGCTGAAGAAAGAGGAACTTTCCTTTGTACGCACAGATGAGTAATTGCTGTTTTCCTATTATTTCAGCCAAAATTTTTTGCTAGCTTTGTAATTTAAAAATTTTTTTTAGAGAGTTTGGACTTTTGTAAGATGGTTGAGATAATGTTAGTGGACTGACCCAAGACCTCAATTGTCTTCAAATATTTGGACCTGCAGACTGTTTGGTTATATATTTTGGACTTTGAGCCTGAAATTATTGGAATGGAAGTCTCTTTGTTTGCATAAAAGTGGTCTAATCCATCCCCAGTGAGTGATGCCAGAAGGGAAGTGTCCCATTCTGATTTGCCAAGGGACTACTGATGAGGAGATCCAAGAGGAACGAATCAGCCACTACTTTATGAAACTAAAAGCAAAGTAGAATCCATTGCTGCCAGTCATGACTGCTGGTTATGCAATGCCATCCTGCTTGACAAAGAGGGTTATGCTTCCCTCCACCCTCCAGGCTGGCTGCCATGGGGTAAGAGTCCAGCAACATCAAATATTTGACATTTACAAGCAAGTACCCTCTACTTGCTTGGGGGGAGGGATAGCTCAGTGGTTTGAGCATTGGCCTGCTAAACCCAGGGTTGTGAATTCAATCCTTAAGGGGGCTATTTAGGGAACTGGGGTAAAAATCTGTCTGGGGAGTTGTCCTCCTTTGAGCAGGGGGTTGGACTAGATGACCTCCTGAGGTCCCTTCCAACCATGATATTACATGATTCTATGATAACCTGCTAGCCAGTTCATCGATATTAAATGACAGAGCCAAGAAAACCACTGACTACTAATCCTTTCAACCATGTACTACCTTCCTGAGCCTCAATGATATAATCAGAGTCACAACCACCATCTTACATAAGTATTAATCTTTTTGGTTTGGTCCCCGCCCATTCTTGTTAGTAGAGAGATACTTTCACCTTAGTGTTCTTGCACTTGTTTGATATCTCCAGCAGATGACTGGTTGTGAGCGTGCGTGCGCACATGCAAGAGCGTATATGGCTAAAACCCATGGAATTTCCATAAGAATGGTGCCTATAGAACAGTTTCTCAAACACCTAGAATAACCCAAGGTTAAATAACCTCACTTTCTAAAATATCACACACACACACACACACACACACACACACACACACACACACCCCTACCTTATGCATTAGGAGTTGTATGTTTAAATCCTGAAATTGTTTTCACTTATACTCTGGTTACATCTTGATTTGTACTGAAATACTCCATATAACTCAGTTTGGAGAAAGGGGGAAGGAGAGATTGTTTCCTAACCATCTATAATTTGGGCAGACTGCATTAATTGGCATCAGAGCTATAGTCTCAACATTGACTTAAACCTGGGAGTAATTTGAACCTCCCTGTATCAGCCATTCAGGTGGAGTATAAATATATCATTTAGAGCCAAGATTGATAATGCCGTATTATTTTGGGGGCTGATGGCTAAACAAGACTGCTGCCTTAAGAACTCCAAATCATTATATAAAGTTCATTAACAACTGTTATTTAATGTGATTTAATCAACCATTTAATTAGACTGATTCTATAGTATAACCTTAACCCACTCTTTTAATCTGATTTGTTTGCATGCATTATATTTTATGCTTTTCGCTTACTTTAGATAATGAAATATACAACATTAAAGATTGTGAATCAGACATTTTTCCCTCCAGACATTAGGATTGAGCAACTGAGGAGTCTTGGGGTAGGTAACAGATATAATTGTGTCCCGCCTAATGGTGGTTCATAAAATTGCCTTGACAGTCCTCATACTCACCTGCAAAATTCCACTTTTCCATCTCATAGGTTCATATAAAAGATATTAGTTGCTGTTGCTTTTTACACACACGCACATGCACACAGTCTCCAGAAATTTTCATTTTATTTCTGAGTTACATAAGATCTATAAGAAATCCCAGATGTTCAATAGGTGTTTTTTTCATACGTTGCAACACAGAAATTGTTGTTCACTGCAATAACAATGGTCATTATCCAACAGAAGAACACTTTGGCCCTCCTCACCCCTATTGAACAGCAGCTTATTTCACAAGTGGCCCCTTCATTTTTTAATAGGGCTACTTGAGGAACAGGACACTTACGCAGCACAAATTAGGATTTCAAGAAAATAGGGAAAGCACACCATCACATTATGCCACTGAAACTGTGGTGACTATTAGTGCTCACCTAGTAATGATAAGTAGACTGTCCAAGGCATCATGGTACTTCCATCAGTGTGCAGTCAGCCTGCCCATGATACTAACACTAAACCTTATTGGGTGCCTAATAAGGCATATAAAATAATAGAATGCAGCCACGATACCGCTATGGCTCACATGCAAAGGTGGAATCCACTGGTCAGCCACTGAGGTACTAAGACACATACTGGACCAAATGGAACTGCACCAGTTTACACCAGCAAAAAATTTGCCACACAGTATTTCAATATGCTTCTCAAGCTATTGTCTTTCCCAAACTCTAAGATTTCTTGATACAGCCGAATCCCAATGAACAACTCATTCAGACAATACCAAATACATCCAGACACTCGGGAGTGTGGATAACTGGAACTCAACAGGAAGAAAGCCAATAAAACACAGGGACATGTTACCAAGTGGTTCTGAACATAGGGATATAAGCACAGAAATTCCTCTTCCTATCAACTGATAAAACTGAGAAATGAAAAACCTGGGGAAGTTATATTCTTAACATTATAGCATGTTCATATTTCCACCATAAAACAGCCTGACGTTAGACTATGGATCTAATATTCAACATACCTGTCTAGAAAACAGGTTGTGAAGTGGTGCAATTTTAAACTATGTTCTCAATTTGAACAATTATCTTTGCAAGTAACAGAACTTTTTTTGGATGAACATTACATTACCCGTTCAAATATTTACAGCATTCACACAGCATTCAAGTTCTGAGTAGTACTTTCAGTGACATTTTCTAGAAAGGAACATGTCTAAAGAAAAATTAACAGGCGCTAAGGAGGGCCCTAGCTGTCTCTGCCAAGCCTCATGTGGAATGTTGACACAGCAGAGTGACAGGTAATATACACTGAAAGTCTTGTGTAAAATTTCTTACAAGATGCTTACAAAGGGATACATCAAAATGTGAGCAACTCAAAGCTGCAGGCAGTGCTAAAAAGGCTTCCCACAGCAGGAAAAGGAATACATATATATTTCAAACTGCAATAAATTAGATTAACTACATTTTATGTTTAGCAGGGAAATTTCTTCCAGCCCTTGCAGTGGTAGCCTGTTTTTTACAGCATGAAATCCATTATACCCTTTTGCTCTCTCCTAAAGGACAGGAAAAGATCCTCCCTCATAAGAGTGATCTTTTAAAAATATTTTCACCTCAGTTTCTCTGAGAGGTGCAGTGGTATTAAAAAAATTAGGAGCCCATTTCTTGTGCACCAAAAACTTCCTTTCCATCCAAAGGGAATTTTGGGTACACAAGGAATACAGTAACTGTTCCTAAGTCAGTCATTGCTACCCAGGAGTCGATTATATTTTCCTCAGTTTTAAAATGATACCGCTGCCAGTGTGAATTTGAATTTGTGTTTCATATGGTGCTGCTTTCCAGGTCATATGCACTCCCTCCTTAGGAGGGGAAATCCAAGACTGTGAGAAGGATTCTGACCCTTGGAAGACTGGCAGATGGTGTGACCAAATTTTGGGCATCCTTCAAACGCAAGATATTGCACAGAACACTAAGGGTTTTAGTGGAATATAGGCAGCCTTTTTAGATGCCAATTAATATATTCTGTGTTGTTTGTGTTTCACTGATCTCTGTTGGAATGCATGACTGCCACCTTGAGACACTCTCAGAAAACAAGTTGAGTATCTTGTGAAGCTAACGTCAATGAGCAAAGCTTTTAACAAATATGAATGCAGTGACTCCCTGATGTCCATTTGAGCCCCTAAGAAAAATTGAAAATAAAATCACATTATTAGATGTAATCCATCAAATCTTCTTGTGGAAGAAACCTTTGGATTCTAAATGATCCCTGCCTTTGGCGGTTAATCTACATATGTAAAACTCATGCTGCCGTTCGCCAGTGGTGCAGGACTGCTTTTATTTTTAGAAAACAATTTTGCCTTTTGGTTGACCTCATATAGCAAATAATTTGCATATTGCCCTCAGCCGTTACTGAAATGAAGTTTTGTTCTTGTAGTTTACACCATCATGGTAGAAATGGTTAAAATACCAAAAAGCCAGTACTAGTAGCTAAAGTGAAGAGAGTCAGGGTGACCCATATATATTTCTATCACTGTTCTATCGATAAAGAACAAGGCTGTCTTACCCATTGTTAGCATACCCATAATAATAAACAATGCCACCACCTAGCTCTTATGTAGCATTTTTCCACAGTACATCATTTTTATAAATATACTAGAGCTTTTCACATTCCCTCCCCATTGCATCTTCTGTATGCTGCAGAGACCCAGCCTCCATTCTGATCCTACGATACTGCTGCTAACTCACTCAACTCCACATAATACTCATTACGGCTACAAAAATTACATGGACGATGCCCTTCCATGGGGGCTGGAAGGAAGACTTCTGTAATCACTGGAGGTTAGATACAGGCCTGTGCATCAGAATAAGAGGAAGTCAGAACACTCCTATGTGAGCTACCTGGACTTTGAGTCCATTCACATACAATTAATAGGGTGTTTGCTTACTCCCATACCATCCCACCCTCAGTGCAGGTGGGTGGGGAATGGGTGGAATCTTGGCTCCATCCCCTCCCACCCTTCCCTCTATATACTGGCCGGTGTTGGTGTGTGGGGGTGTTGAATTCGCTGTTGGCATAATCCAACAGTAAATTAGTACCTCCCTGGACAGGATTGGAAGGGAGGGAAATCAAGGGAGAATTTCTGATTCAGAAGTGTCTGACCACAACGCCTCCTGGGGTGCTGTGGCTCTACCTAAAGTCACAATCAAGTCCCAAGTCAATCCTATAACTAAATTTCAGCTATGTCCACACCTACGTTCCCTCCCTGCCGGCCCCAGTGTAGAGCTGCGGCAGCCAGGAGATGTGCCCCTCCCCGCCGGCCCAGGTCCACCGGAACTGCTGTGGCCGGGGAGCGGAGCCTCTCTCCCAGCCCCGAGCTGCTGTGGTGAGAGAGGGCTGGGGGGAGTCCTCTCTCCCCACTGCAGCCCTGGGGCAGCCTGCACCCCAAATCCCTCATCCCCGGCCCCACTCCAGAGCCTGCACCCCCCAGCATCCCAACCCCCCTCCTGCATCCCTCATCCCCAGCCCCACCTCAGAGCCCGCACACCCAGGCAGAGCCCTCACCCCCCCACGACCCCCCCAACCCTCTTCCCCAGCCCTGAGCCCCCTCCCGCACCCTCATCCCCAGCCCCACCTCAGAGCCCACACATCCAGGCAGAGCCCTCACCCCCTCACCCCCCCAACCCTCTGCCCCAGCACTGAGGCCCCACCCTCATCACATCAATTTTGTTATGTGCACCAATATGAAGGTGATGTGTCACACATCACTTCCATATTGGTGCACATAACAAAATTCATTCCACACATGGACGTAAAAAATTAGAGGGAACACTGGTCTACACTACAGCCTATGTTGGCATAACCTATGTCGCTCAGTGGTGAGACTCTCTCCCGCCCTGAGTGACATAAGTTACACTGACATAGCGCTGTGCACACGAGCACTTATGTTGGAAGGAGAGTTTCTCCTGCCAACATAGCTTCTGCCGCTCACGTCTTCACCAGACGCGGTGCAGCTGGATTAGTACAGCTGCAGCACTGTATGCATACACATGGCCATTGCGTCACCAGAAAAATTCCCCTTTCCTTTAAATGCAGTATCTGAAAAAGATCACAGAAGTTCTTTTTAATTTTATTGTTATTAAACATGGATGATTTAACACCGATGAGAGGTAAAGTTTAAGGGAAACACTTACTTCTTTGAGAGCAGAAGGAATTTTTTTCTGTTTTCTCCCAGATGGAATACTATGTAACACTGTAGACAAGGCACTGGATGGAGATTTATGGTTCACTGGGGATCCACTCTTAGGAGTGAAGTGGTTATCTAAAATGTATATAACATGCACAGTGCTTTTACATTGCAGATGACTAACATATGCATAGTGTTCCTTACAAAACGTTTTAAACACAGCTATAATTTCTGTTTGGTGTAAGGTAATTTTTTTTTAAAAAACACAGTTAATCTCTGAAACACTGCATATGATATTGTATTTCCTAACCATATTAAACAACAGGAATTTTGCCTCTCAGTATTGCCAATTCCAAAAGTTACAATATCACGAGTTAGAGCTCCCAAAATCATGAGATTGGACCAAAAAATCATGAAGTTGATATATATATATATAAGTATAAATCCTGTTTTTGAAGTCCCCCTGCCCACCCCCCCATGTGTAAAAGACAATTACAGGGTGAAAACTCAACCTTAAATACACACAACGTATTCCCACACACAAAATGCAGGCCCCAATTCCCCTCTGCATTTGCTTCCAGACTCCTCCTCACTACCCAAAAACCCAATGGCAGGGGCTCCTGCTGCTCCCCACTCCCACCCAGCAAGGTCCTGCAGACCCCAACTCCCTGAGCACGCTTTCTCTCCCCAACTCAGGCCCCCTCCCCCAATCTCCTCAGCAAGGTCCTACGGCCTCCCACACCCTCCCCCCTCCATTCCCCTGGCAGGCATCACTAGTGGCTCCCTGTGGCCAGCCTGCACGTAAGAGGGCTGTCCCGTGGGCCTACCTCCATTAACTCCCGCTTCCTGCTTGTGGTTGAGGGTGGTGATTATTAGTATGGATTATGTATGTTACTCTAGTGCCTAGGAGTCCTAATCATAGACCTGGACCCCATTGTGCTAGGCGCTGTACAAACGCAGAACAAAAAGGCAGTCCCTGCTCCAAAGAGCTTACAATCTAAGTATAAGGCAAAACAATACAGATGGATATAGGTAGACAGATGGGGGAGTACAAGGAAACAATGAGACAATACTGGTCAGCATGACGGGAAGTGATAGGGTGCTCTGTTCTGCTGCACCTGCTCTGTGACTGTGACACAGCTCAGGATGCAAAGGGTGCCCCAGTAAACTAGACAACTGCTGCAGCTACCTGCAGCACAGCATCCACTAGCAGCTGAAGGTGGAAATTGCTGGTGGCCCAGGCAAAGCTCCTGAGCAGCCTCTGCTTTACAACAAGAGCCCTGGAAAAGTCTCCTTGAAATCACATAATAATATTGCAAATATCAACACCACTGGTCTCTAGGTCCAAGAGGAAGGATGGGCCAGGTGCTAGCCTGGCATTCAGTTCCCTGCTCTGCCACAGACTTCTTGTGTGACCTTGGGCAAGTCATTTGGTGGCTCTGTGCCTCAGTTTCCCCATCTGTAAAACAGGTTACTAGTACTTCCCGATCTCACAGGGGTGCTGGGAGGATAAATGCAGTAAAGATTGTGAGGTGCTCTGATACTGTGGAAATGGGGGCTATATAATTACGAGACAGAGAGAGATCGATTAAAAAAAAGTTTTCCCTCTACCTTGTTTCTGTAGTTCTTTGAAGCAATGATCACACACTCTTGCTGGTTGGTTTTTCATATAGTCTAAGCCATGTTTATTTGTGGAACATGCTTGGCAGACAATCTGAAAACATGTAAAATGTTATTATATCGCATGCACAACCACACGCACACCAATCCCTTAAAAACTTATATCTGAGTTTCACTAAACCCATGCTGTTGAGCCCCAAACAAGTAACAATTTTACAACCTGAGGGTTTGGAGGGACATGCATGCTAATTCCCAGGGATGTTCCACACAAAATACTCTTTCCAGAACTGATTTTATGTGACTGACAATATTTGATAGTTATATCATTTTCTGATTTTGTACAGAATATTTTGAACAATAAATAAATAATCTGAGAATGGGGGGTGAGACTACTGGATTAGTGAGAAATATCAAATTTATGGACTAGCAAAGGGTAAATTAGCAAATTGTTATTGTATTGTCAAATCTCATCTACAAGTTTATTAAGAAACATGCTCCGTTTTTTTAAACTTGTATTTTTAGATGATCACAATATCTATCTAGTTATATTATCCTCTTGTCTGTGTTATGGAGAAATTGATGTGTTTCAACTACACTGAATACTGAATTCCCATTTGACTAAAAAGTAAGATGTGAAATGTGACTAGGTTAAGACAGCAATAAAATATACAATAGTTTTTTTTCTAGTTTCATGGGTATGCATTGTTTGGAAGTCTCGCAAAATGGGTTCAACCTTAACTCACAGCCAGTGAAAAAGATACTTTGAAGTTAATTTTCTTGGTATGCATTGTGCTACTGAAGGAGTGAAGGACATGCGTCATTTTTTTCTCCTGAAATGTAAAATATGACAAGAAGCACTGGATAGGTTTATCTAGAGAATTGATCTAATAACAAGGATATTTAGAGTAGGAAATAATGTTATTTTCACCTAAGGTATAATGTTCTCTCAACACAGCAATATTGCTAATGTGTTTTAATGCAATCAAATTCCCCCATATGGAAACAAAAATCTTGAATGACTCTTGCAAAAGAAGGAAGTTACAAGATCACCCAACCTTTCCACATGCCCTGCAGTGATGTCTTCTCCAGGTCAACGTGAATTCACTAGTACAGATCATACACATAGTGGCTCTAGTATCAGGAACCCAGATGGGAGCCTTTGATCCGAGAGGACTATCTTCATCCTCTTTCTCTGGATCTGCCTGAGAAAATGGAGGTGGAACTCCATTAAATTACAAGCAGTAATGTATTTTTCACCACTGAATTATCAAGGTTAAATACAAGTATTCTGTTTCCTAAGGATTCTCCGTTCACGTAACTGGTCAGTGTCTTAAATACAGCTTCTCTGCTGGTTCACCAGCAACATTATCACAATTGAGCTCTAAAAGAAGATGCTGAAATTATTTCATTGAATCATACAGGTGCTAATAAATCTCTATTTCAGTGCTGCCAATTCAGATATTTCAGGGGAGGGAGGTCCAGCAAATCCTGGCGTTTCTCTCCCTCCTCCCTCCCCAACAGGGATCCCATTCTGGTCCCTGTTCACGTTCCCCCCCGCCTGCCATAGGGACCTTGGTTCTCCCCTGGCCAGGGAGTCTCCCCACTCTCTCACCCACACAGGGCATGAGCTGGTGCCACCAGGAATCGAGTTCTAGATGGACTCCACTGCACTCCACCATACAGAAGCAGACTCCCTCCCTGTGTACCAGGTCACAATATTATTTGGTTCGGCCTCCTCTCCAGCTGTACCAAGGGGTGCCCAGGTCAGATTTCAGTGGGGTTTAGACCACACAGCTGCAGCAACGCTCCGGACTGCTCCAGCAGCAGCCGTATTGATTTAGTACAGGACTACTTCTTAAGTGATCAGATCATGCCCCACCCTCCAGCTCCATTGCCTAGGTCACCTGGAGCAAGTGCAAAAACCTTGGGGGGATGGGAGTGTTTGCCCCCCCCCCCCCCACTGGCACCACTACTCTACTTGTTTAGTACCAAGATATTCCAGTTTGTTTACATCCATTATCTCAGGGGTTCTCAAACTGGGAGTCAGGACCCCTCAGGGGGTCGCGAGGTTATTACATGGGGGGGTCACAAGCTGTCAGCCTCCACCCCAAACCCCGCTTTGCCTCCAGCATTTATAATGGTGTTAAATATATTAAAAAGTGTTTTTAATTTATAAGGGGGGGGGTCGCACTCAGAGACTTGCTATGTGAAAGGGGTCACCAGTAAAAAAGTTTGAGAGCCACTGCATTATCTTAGCTAGCGTTACTCTATTTTAAGGACTAGAATGGATGGATATCTAACCCTTTTTCTCCTGTTCTTAGGATTACTGAGAACCGACATCTGAATTTTTTTAATGAAACTATGAAAGATATACATCTCAAATTCTGTTCTATTATTAATACTTGCCACTTTTCTTTTCTAAAGTGCTGTGCTGAGTTTTAATACGTAGTAGAAAATATATTCATGCCCAAAGAAATCAAAGAGAATGGTGTGGTATACCTCTTCAAGACTTTTACTCGGGTTAAATGTGATTCTCTTCTTTGTATAGTCTTCAATTGATCTGGAGATGGCTTCTAACCATTCATCTCTTTCTGTAGCAGAACTGTTGGTGTCAAAGACATTGAAGTACGGTTAACATTAAAAATGTCTAAAAACTAACTCTGGCTATGGCATGGTTTTTGCCAGGCACACATCATGTTATTTCTTTTTTGTTTTTAATGACTATTAGTTTAGATTATATTAGGTTGATGTGGGAGTGTTGATTATAGTTAGAGCATTAAAGAGAAGTAGATTTAGAGCCTGGATTTGGAGGCAACTGAAGTTGTGCGGTATATAGGATCAGGCAGGACAATTCCAGATGTAAGGGGCAACAGAGAAGAAAACTTGGAGGCCCTCATGCACGGGGGATAAAAAGAGGACCAAATCGGAATTAGTAGAATGCTGGTCTAATCTGGGAAAAAGAAGAGACAAGATATAGGCAGGAGCAGAGCTATGGCACTTTGACTATCCTTCCCATTGGGAAGAAGAATATTTTGCCAAATCCAAATTTTTACTTATGTTGGTTTTTTATCCTGTGAGAAAAAGCCAATATGCATTAGTTCTGGAATATTCATGTCTCCAGCCAACTTCTATGGCTCAGAGATTCTGACTAAAATTTCAAAATTTGGTTGCCTTTAATTACCCTGCTAAATCTATATTTAAGCAACTAAATTATAAGTGGCCCAATTTCCAGAGTTGCTGGCTGAGCATCCATAGTGCACATTGACTTCAGTGGGACTACTAACATGAGTGCACAATCCAGTCCCTAATCCTGCAAACATTCAGCATTCATTCATTTTAGCAGTCCCACTGAAATCAATTACGTGCTACAGGTTTTCAGGGCCATAGTGTTCTCATTATTAACTTACGAAAACTAAATTCTGGAGTTCTGTATAGACCAGAGTGCTGCCTAGACTTTCACACAGCCGTTAGATCAAACTAGCAATAAGACTTGTAAGATATCTATTTACATCTATATCTCCCCTAGGAAATGGGCAAAGTTTTGCTATGTTAAGTTTGTAAAACTTTAACTTTTCCTTTAGAGTCTTTTCAAACTTCAGTTCTGTTGTGTGTACTGAACATATTGAATATGGCTGTCAGTAAAAATAGCAGAAGGGAAGCCTGTCTCTCTAAAGTCTGGTAAGAATTTTATTTGATCTGTTTTGTAACACACAGAGTATGAACACACTGGAAACATATTAAATTGCCAAATGAGACGCAAAAGCCATGAGAATGAGATATAAGAAGATGAATGATACTGAAAAATGAGACATTCAGTCTGTATGTAGATGATTGATTCACTACACATCCATTGTACATACTGATGGAAATTGCATCAGTCATTGAAAAAAATCCATACAACTTTTCCCCCTGGCTCACATACCCTGTTCATCTTATAACAGATATAATGACTTTGGCATTGGGCATTTCCTGAGGATTAATTACAGCTGGAAATCTTCAACTGCACCTTGGGACATCTTCCCCAAACTGGTCATTAATCCCTAGTAAATGCCTTATGCTTCTATCATTATTGTTTAAATCACGATTCTTTCCTAGATAGCTTCAACAAGCTAGACCAGCACTGATTTATTTTATTTTTAAAAAGAAGAGAATTGAATGCTCCCAAAGAATCAAAAGTGACAGCACTAGAAAATGAAGTTTTATAGAAACACAGAAACAGCATTTCTAGTATCAATATGCCTTAATTCAGAGATGGTTGGGCCACTTCTAAGTGTTAAATTTCTAAGGACCTAACAAGCATTGACCTCAATTGCCACTGTCCTAAAAGTTTGCCACAATTAGCACCTATTACAGCAGTAGCATGTTTGTTTAGGGTGGTTTTTTTTTGTTTTTTTTTTTTACTGCTAACACCTCTCTGCTAGGGAACAGTTTGATTCCACCAAATTTTTTGCATATAAAAGTATTTCACCAAGTTTGATAGAAAAAAATTCCGGGCACAAAAGTTAGAAGAAATAAATACTATGCATTCAGCCTTTGGAAATTATAATCTATTTTTTTTTTTTTTTTTAAAAAAAAATCACAACATCTTAGCCAAAGCTACAGTCTATATATGCAGAGGAATCTCTCAGTTATTTCCTCTCATTTACAATTAAAGTATCATTCCCTTGCATCATTCTGAAATGTTAATTTCCCCTGAACAGTGAAACCAAACAAACCTATAATCTCAAATGTTAAGATTCAATTATATGTATGTAGGTATGTTCATTTGGCACCCCAATAATTGTAAGGATAATTCAGTGTCATTTCCATAAAGCATCATACTAGCCAGAGCAGAGATGGTATAGTCCTATCCTGCATTAGTGTCAAGGCTCTTCCTACATATTTGTGAAGTGCTCAGTCATTGTGGCACCTAAGCACCAAAGGTACGAATCTGCACCGACTGCAGCATTCAATGGCAAAATTGTCATTGACTTCAACAGGTGCAGAATCAAGTCCTATGCTGTGTGCAATGCATCCTTCGCCCAATATGCAAAATGTCTGCATTAGAGATAAATGTAAATACATACAACACTTCTTTTCAATCCCCAGTTATAAATAACTGCTATTACTCAGGCACAACTGTGCTACTTCCTTTGGCTGCTTGGACAATGTTAACTCGGGTGCCTCTCTGTTTGAAACACTGTTTTGTGCAGACATCCTGAAGTCAATAGATGCAAGGTCACAGAGTGTGACAAAGCCCACACTACTGCTGTTTTGCAAAAAGAAGAGGGAATGTATCTTTGCTCATTGACATCAGTATTGTCACAGCGGACAGAATGTACAACACTCATGGCTCAAATTCTCTAAACAGCTAGAATAGGAGAATCAAGCCTTTGGAAAAGACAGCTTCACAAAGGCAGATGCAAGCTTTTCTACAATAATTTAGTGGCAGTGAATACTCTGAATGCTACCTGAGAGGATTTAGTTTGCTGGTAACTGCTACATATTTTCCTAACGCCATTGATTTGATTCATATATGTGGGAGCCAAAATGTGAAAGAAGATTTGGCTAAAGTCCACATTGTATCTGTTTTTTATGATTCAATAATTTAATGCCACCTCTACTTTGCAGCTTCAAAATACAATCTGTTTCCTGTTCTAATGACATCTGTGCTACAGCTAGAAGATCCTCTCCCTCAAACTTATATCAAAAGCCGCGTTATCACCTCAGTATTTTATTGCTAGATTTCATGTCATCCCTTAGCAGTAACTTTGGAAGAGAAGCAGAAACAGAAACAGAAAAAAAGTCCAGAATTTCAAAGCCTAAAATAAAACCACTTAAGTGAACATTTTTAGACTTATGTTTTTTTTTAAAGGAGCAGCATTTTTTTCTCCTCAAAAGGTAGCAAGAAATAATTCTCACAGGGTATTGGGTGACTTGAATAAAACTCAGACTTTCTGTCTTTTCAGTCTGGTGAACAGTTAAACAAATGTAATGGTGTGAGCAAAATTCTGATACAAATGGTAGTCATTGCCCAGACAGTTCAAAGACTAACTTCCTTTGGTACAGAATCCGAACTTGGGGGAAGTTTTCCCTAGAAATCAAGGTGAACTGCACAGCAGTGGCATTACATGAATTTAAAAACTCATTAGCTATGACTCTGTGATCATCTAAAATAACACAACTTAAATAACATGATGAGAGGGAATTGAAACTAGTTTGTCTTCATTCGAGGAACCCTCTACAAATTCTCCATGCTTCTAGAGTTACTATTGTAGATGAGAGCAACCTTCATTGCACAAATACAAAACAATGAGTGTAAACTTAGACAATATGCAGCTTCATAGTTTATGTATTGTATCTGAAAATGTGTGCTATTTAATATACATTATTTGCTTAGGATATTTACCTTGCTGAGAGTATGAAGGATCGCTCTACGCTTTCTATGTTCAACTCATTTTGATAAGCTTCCTGGGTTGGTTTTCTAACCTACAGTGGACATAGAAAACAACTCTTAATTGAAAATGAATCAATATGACTTCAAGGAGATACCTGTAACAACAGGTGAACTAAAGCAATAGACTTTTCTCTTGCAGAAAGAGTAAAAACTGGACAGGAAATAGCACAACAGTAGGAGCTCACACACCAGCCCATCACTTCTGAAATCCCGAGTTTCAAGTGTAACTGAGTTTATAGGTCGAGTGTTTATGTAGCCACCCCAGGATATTTGCTGACGTCACAAAACACAGAATGCAGTCTTGTAAATAGTCTCTCATGCTGTCTCCTGTGAATCTGGGCCTTCAGCTGAACTTGGCCCTTTTTTCTGGCAGCATCATGGATAAGACACTTAACTCCTGAACAGGAGCAGAAGGTGGTTTGTCCTACTGTACCAGTGTCCCCTAACAGCTGTGTCTGCTTATGTCGGTGTATGTAATAGAAGTTTCTTGATACAGCTCAGGATATTCCAGCTCGGAGATGGCCGGACAACACTTTTTAGAGGGGTGATAGGAAAGGTACAATTACAAAAAGAGGGGGGGGTGTCAACTTTGGGGACTTTTCATGAAGACCTGAGATTGTACCCCTTCTAACTCCTGTATTTCCCCCTAGGATTGGCAGTCTTTGGAGAAACCCAGCTGTGGAGGATTTGGCCCACCAGAAAGTTGTCAGGCAATCAGAGACGTGTGTGTTTTTTGAGGGTGGGCAAAAAAGTCAGAATGGCTATGAGGCAGGGGAGGGGCAGCCATACTACATAAGTAAGCAGCCTTTGTTTCAGGGAAGCCTAATACTGGACCCAAGGCAGTTAATATTAAGGTGCAATAGTAGAATTGCCTGACGAAGCCTTCCCAGGCCAGCCAACACTAATCAGATATTTAGGCAGTTCTCTCTCTGTTTCTCCCCTTTGATTGCATTACAATTCTCCTCCTCTTCTTCCAACTGGCCCCCAACAATGAATGCATTTTTAAAAAGGATAGTTATTAATGGCCCAAAGGTCCATACACCATGCAACAAAGGCTATGCTTCTATCACGGCTCTTAATATAAGCAACTTATAATATTTCTTTCCAACAATAAATATACTTGTCCGTGGAAAAATAACATGCAGGAGTTCAGATACGTTTTGACAAAAAATTGCCAGTGAAGAGATCTCACCTTCATTCCAGCCAATGAAAGCATGTTGTTGAGTTTATACATGCCAGACTGTACTGGAGTTGTATACAACAGAGCATCATTAAACTGCAATACAAAACGCACACTTTCAAATGGCTAAAGGATTAAATAATAAAAAGATAGTTTCAACTATAGTGTACTAAAAATGTATGAAATTTGTATAGAATTGATACACATGCATTGAAGGTAGAAATTTAGAGTCTAGAAATGTGTCCTCTACATGCTATTACTTTAGTTTGGATTCTGAGAAGAGAGTTCTATTTATTTGTAACAAATGTTCATGTATACAATGTAGGTAAGAATATAGGTCTATTAACATTTTAGTTATGTAAACATTTTTTGTCACATTCTCTGCACAAAGACTTTTTAAAAGCTGAAAGAAAATTGCCAAAATAAAAAGGCTATTTATCAATGAAAAGTACGTTATTTATGGGCAAACTGGGAGTACTGATGTCAGGGAATAGGCCATTGAAACCCATAAGGAACAGTTTCTTGCAAATAAAAGTTATATTACACACACACAAAACTGCATTCAGAGGACATTAGTAAAGTTGCAAAGTCAAGCACTCACAAGTTAGGAAAGGCCAGAATTAAGGTTTCCTATGCCCTAGGGTAGTATATGTATCTCTAGTTATTCATATCAAACGAATGCTGATCAAATATAAAAAATGAAGAGCACATAGTGGTACTTCATATGGCATTCTGGACTGAAGCTTGGCTCTGGACTGCATTTTGTCGGAGTTAATGCTCAAGACTTCGCTAAATTTGAGGAGCTACTATATTACTTGTATTACACTAGCACCAGCTAAGATGGTGCCCCATTGTGCCAGTAAGAGTCAGATCCTGCCTCAAAGGGTTTATGTCTAAATAGACAAGACAGACAAAGGATGGGCAGGGAAATAGACACAGAGAGATTGTGTGACTTATCCAAGGTCACAGAGCAGGTCAGCAGCAAGGCCAGGAATAGAACATGGGACCCTTGACTCCCCAACCCAGTGCCCAATCCAAAGATATATGATAAACTTTTAAAAAATGTGACAAGTAATGCTCTGGACACCAGATTTTGGATTTTCAAATCTATTAGAATTCAAAGGACTAGAGTAGTAGTCTCAGCTTTTCAAAACCTCAGATTCTTTTCTCAAAAAGTTCTTAAAAACAGTGACTGAATTTTGGTCAAGCAGAAAGAATTTTATAACTGGGATTTTTTGTTTATCTTTTAGTGTACACAAATCATCTTGCTAAACCACACTGAACACGCAAAACAGTGATACAAACTGCATATAAAATGCTCAATTTTTTAACAGTCAGCTGAAGTTGCCAGTTATTTATATTTGTGGTGTAAATGTTTCTACCACTATTCAATTACTCTGGCATTAGGCACATAGAAATGTACATGGCATCTTACCAGAAAAAACATTCGCGGCTGCATGACCTTCCTGGAAAGCTTCATCAACGTTCCTTCTTTGAGAAAGACCTGGCAAGTTAAAGAAGATAAACAAATATTGCAAAACTTAGCTGTTGAGGGCACAAAAACTGCATGAATAAGCTTCTCTCTTTAAAATTCTTATTCATTTAGTGCCATAGATGTGTTTGAAATTTCATAAAAGACACGAAGTAAAACACATCAAGCACCAATGATCATGACGAAAGATTTCCTGTTCTGGAATATAAAACTTGTAGGTTAGCATTTTTGATAAACCTGTTATAAAAATGTACTCCTGCATAATTATCCCTAGGTATCCTTATAAATACAATAAATATAAATGAATTAATAAAAAAGGAACTTATTGGAATTAGAAGGTCTGCTTAGCATAATATAAAACCAATACTTGGACATTGGAAGAAGGTCCCATCTACAGTAAATAAATGGGCCTCAATATCAACTGACCTAGCTTCTTATGAGAAGTTGATCCTTAACTGCAGATAACATGTAACATCCAAAAGATGTGGACTCCATGTTTGATTCATATAAAATTGCTAACCTATCACATATGGAGCTGCTCATACCTTTTCCAGAGGCTGAGCAACAGTGCTCCCACAATTGCAGCTTATGGACACAATTCTGCAAACATCAGAACAAGTAACTTCACTCATGTGAGTAGTTTCACAGAGATCAGTAAAAAGAACGAGGAGTACTTGTGGCACCTTAGAGACTAACAAATTTATTTGGGCATAAGCTTTTGTGGGCTAAAACCCACTTCATCGGATGCATACAGTGGAAAATACAGTAGGAAGATATATACACACAGAGAATATGCAAAAATGGGTGTGGGACTGCTCATGGCAGGGTGATTGAGAGAATAAAGATGGGTCTTTACATCTGTATCTCACTTGTTTAGTATTGTACAAGTCACATTATGAATCAATTAAAATCTCGAATAAGAAAAAACCCTAAGGGATTCCATGGTAATTACCAAGCTTCTGCTATTAAAATGTAATTGGGACAAAGGGCTCGATCCTGCACTCGAGAGGAGCTGATCATCCTCAACTACCAATGAAATCCACAGGGATTGTGTACTTGCACTGGAGGATGGAGTTTGCTCTAACTTATTTTTAAGTCTTTCCTCTGACTTCTCATGTTCCAATTGAAGTCGCAACAATGTGGTGGCAAAGCTTGCAGTATAGCTGCGAACAAAATACACAGAATGATAGAATCGGAGGACAGGAAGGGACCTCGAGAGGTCTTCTAGTCCAGTCCCCTGCACTCAAAGCAGGGCTAAGTATTATCTAGACCATCCCTGAGAGGTGTTTGTCCAACCTGCTCTTAAAAATCTCCAATGATGGAGATTCCACAACCTCCCTAGGCAATTTATTCCAGTGCTTAACCACCCTGACAGTTAGGAAGTTTTTCTTAATGTCCAACATAAACCTCCCTTGCTGCAATTTAAACCCATTGCTTCTTGTCCTATCCTCAGTGGTTAAGTAAAACAATTTATCACCCTCCTCTTTATAACAACCTTTTATGTACTTGAAAACTGTTACCATGTCCCCCCCGCCAGTCTTCTCTTCTCCAGACTAAACAAACCTAATTTTTTCCATCTTCCCTCCTAGGTCATGTCTTCTAGACCTTTAATCATTTTTGTTGCTCTTCTCTGGACTTTCTCCAATTTGTCCACATCTTTCCTGAAATGGGGGAGGAGTGGGGACGTGGCACGCTCAGGGGAGGAGGAGGAGAAGAAGATGCAGGGCAGGGGCGGGAACTTGGGGCGGGAAAGAGGGGGTGGGAAAAGGCGGTGTGGGGACTTTGGGGAAGGGGTGGAATGAGGGTTGGGTGAGGGCGGTACAGGGGCTGGAAGAGGCGGGGCGGGGGCAGGGCCAGGGTCGAGCACCCACTGAGCAGAGGGTCGGCGCCTATGGTTAGGCCCTGAGCATGCAGGTGAGACCCACCAGCCAGACACCTGAGAAAGAATTCTCTACAGTAATTCAGAGCCCTCCCCATTTGGTGTCCCATCTATCTCTGGCCTTTAGAGATATTTGCTGCCAGCAGTTGCAGATTGGCTACATGCCATTGTAGCCAGTCTCATCATACCATCCCCTCTGTAAACTTATCAAGCTCAGTCTTGAAGCCAGTTAGGTTTTTTGCCCCCCGTTTCCCTTGGAAGGCTGTTCACTCCTCTGATGGTTAGAAACTTTAGTCTAATTTGAAGCCTAAACTTGTTGATGACCAGTTTATATCCATTTGTTGTTGTGTCCATATTAGCGCTTAACATATAACTCCTCTCCGTTCCTGGTATTTATCCCTCTGATGTGTTTAGAGACAGCAATCATATCTCCCTTCAGCCTTCTTTTGGTTAGACTAAACAAGCCAAACTCTGAGTCTCCTCTCATAAGGTAGGTTTTGCATTCCTCTGATCATCCTAGTAGCCTCTCTGCACCTGTTCCAGTTTGAATTCATCTTTCTTAAACATGGGAGACGAGAAATGCACACAGTTCTCACTGCTTTAACAGTAGTTATATATGCTTAGTATCACTTTAGTCTGCAGTTTCCTTGCTGCTATCTGCTGAATGCCCTTTTGCAGAACTTACCCTTCCTGGTTGAACAATCTCATGATGCCCATTTAAACTGTATTGAATCTGCATGAGCTTCTGAAAGTTATCCTACGGGGGGGAAAAAACAAAAATATAATTGCCCTTCAATTTAATGAAAATGCATTAGACAGCTTTAACAGACATCAACTTCCACAATTAGGATACTTACTCCTTGTTTCATGATATCATTGGCATGGTTGGCTACTTCTATGACAACAGCCAGAGCACCTAAAGTGTGAAGGAACAGAATTTAGTTATACAGTCTAGCCAGTGGTTCAGTGTTCAAAAACATGTTGCCCAATTCAGCTGGTGCTAAGGGGTTCAAGAGTGTGACCCAAAGCCCACGGAAGTCAGTGGGAGTCTTTCCGTTGACTTCAGTGGTTTCTGGATTAGGTCTTAAAAGCTGAGTCCTTGCAAACCACCATTCATTGTGGCAGCGCTTTTGTGCCATAATAGCCACCAAATTTCTTAAAGTTAACTGAAATAATGACACTCATTTTGCCAACAAAATTAAGCTCACACCCAGCTTGCCTTACTCACACAACTAGTCCCTTTTACTTCAAGATGACTGCTTGTATAAGTGATTGTATAATGTGAGCAGGATTAAGTCCCAATGTAAACTCAGCAAAGGTACTCAGCCAATAACCATCTTTTTCCATTGCACACGTTTTCCTGAAATGTTGGTCACAGAATTCAGGGGATTTCCAGTGGAGCTATCATTGTATTTTCAATTTTCTTTGGGTTTATTGCTGACTAAGATTATTTTCAAGTTTCAAATCCCACACATTTCTTTTTAAGTGTCAAATGTTTTGTACCCATGTGGTACTGAAAATGTAAAATCTCTAAAAGAGAAGAGTTACCCAAGATGGGAGGCAGTTTGGTATCTCTGTATTCAATAAAATAAATAAATAAAAATCACAATGGAAAGAAGTGTTTCGAAATACTGCAGTAGGATGAAGGGAGCATGTGAATTACTGCACAGAGCAGCAGTATTTCATACAGAATTCAAATCTGCAATTCATTTAACTGGAGAAAATATATAAACTCACTTTACTGAAAGTTAGCACAAACAACTATGTGGTGACAGACTAAGATACAGATCACCCTCTGAACCATTTGAATGCAATTAAGCATCCCAAATAATGGAACTTTCATAGGTTTAGAGACATCCAGCAATACTATCACTAGGCCACTAAAACCAAAACACTATTTTTTCTTTCTATCCTGGTATTTACACAGGTCTCATCAGTTAGCACTTGAATTCCTGGACATATACGTCTATAACTGTTCAATTCTTAGTGAGAAGGAAAATAGGTTAAAACATATAATGGCCAAACTTCAAAAGGTATAGAGGTGTTTAAGGCCTGATCTGGGAATTAAGTGAAAGCATGAACTAGGCGCTCCCGCTTAGACTGATGTAAGGAGCATTTTGGGGTATTGTTTTAAGTTTCTTTCACATAGGAAACAAATACAGCTTCCAAATAATCAAAAGGCATGGAAGTACTGAACATGCCCAATAAACATAATAATACAAAGATCAGGATTTCTTTAAACCTAGGGCCTCTCAGAGAGTCGGCTGCACGTGCTGAAGCTGAGCCACAGGAATTTTCTGTCCAAGGAAAGCTGGAATGAATTAGCTCCGAATAAGATACAGGTGGCTGAACATTTCTTAAAACCTCCTTCAGATATCTGTTATTAAAACAAATCCATGCAAAAGTATTCATTCATTGACTTCAAGAAAAATTAAGACTGATGAATCCTACAGTAAATTGGCTGGGATTCATTGGGAAAGATTTAAGGTCACATTATCTTTTATAGTATCGTGATTCCAAAACAAACCTTAAGATTTTGAAAGTCTAATAACTATACTCAAGAGTAAATAATACATGAAGTAAACAGGTATAGGAAATGGTATGGAAACTGTTTTTGGAAAGAAGGCTCCTCTCACTTTCTAATGTTGCACTACCTAGAAGGAGTAATGTATGTACAAAAAAGCACAGAGGTCCCTGAGGTGACCTGCAGATATAGTTTTGGGACACCTAGCCCATATAGATCTTTATTTACACAGTTAAAGGGACATAGCCAACTTTACTATTACATTTTGACTTGTTTTTTAACCTACTGTTGTCACAAGCAACACCTAGATTACTAAAAATGAAAGATTAGAGGATTTTTTTCATATCTAGATTTACAGTTTGTCGTCTTCATACATTTGACAGTTTTCATTGTTTCCCCTGTATAGCTACAGTTAAGTTTCCCTAGTAGTCTCAACACAGCAACAAAGGAGAGAAAAACATTTTAGAATACCAGGAAATGTGATTGCTGGAAGCACACAGGTTTGGGAGAGGAGACTCAAGAGCAGGTGCAGACCTGACACTACTTATAACTAATTTTTTTTAAATTGACTAGATTTCAAATGTCTGGTGTTGCATTAGTGGTAGTTTATCCATATCCATTATCAACACACGAAAGTTATTGGCTCAGCTATCACTGAAAAAATGAAGATGTGAAACAATCTGTACCTACTTGCCGCCCCGAAACTGCTCCCCTTGTGTATTCAGAGTCATTATTTGCTTGCTTAAACCATAACAAATAGACCCTTTTTAGTTCTACTAGCACTGCAGAGCCAAACATGGTGATGATGCATGCTCAAGGAGGAACGAACTAGAGCTTGAATTTCAGTTCCTGAATTCATTTTACAGGGACAGCTGTTTTTATTTGTAAACTTTGAACATTCTTTTTTGGGGAAAAAACACGGAACCCTTCAACGTCACTTTTCATAGTAACGTAAAACTGAATAAAAATATGTTTACTGGTTCACTACATTACATGCATCTAAAGTTAAAGTTTAGAAATATTCTCATTTTTCATCTTTAGCAAGCCTTCTCTTTATTTAATCTAAAGAAATACATTTACCTTGAGTATCCCTATAGTCTGCTGAGTCTTCTAAAAGATTCTTTAAATAATCTGCATAATAAAGAAAAAGTATTACAGAAATATGTTGGGAAAGAACCAGTGTTATAAAAAGGAATAAAAGCATAAAAAATTGCTGGAAAAAATGTACTTTTGGGTAGACATGTGCAATAAGTTACAGCCCCTAATGGATTAAAAAAAAACCAGCTGAAATATTACTAATACACTTGTTTTTGGAGTGTAACAGAAAATGTAATCTCAACAATAGCACAGCTACACAATATCTGTGCACCACACAATATTTACATTGAATGTTTTAGATTAAAAAAAAAAGCAATGATGAGCAGTGAAATAAGTAAAAAATGTGTTGCTCTATTTTACTCAGGAAGAGAGTTCACAGAAGCAGTGTCTTCAGGCAAATGATATAATTTGTATAGGTGTTATATTTCAGAACAAATCAACGAGCAGCAGTTATCCGTTAATTATTCAGTGTGACAACAGACACCTATACAAAGCTATACTACGTGCACTTATTTGTGTTCAATTTTATACAGGTCATGACAGATTTTGAAGATTACAAATGCTACTGTGTTTTGTGTTAGTACCTAACCTGATTGTAATAAATAATCAGTATTTGGCAAAAGAATGCTCTGATTGTTTTATTATGTGGAAGAATTTTTATTCCAATAAAGCAAAAATACAAATAAAATAAACTATCAAATTTTGATGTGAGTTAGTATGGTTGTGATCAATGATAAATCTAGTCTTTGCCCACTAGATGGCACATCTGATCCACAAAATATTTCTTACTTTGAGGTTTTCGATCATTACTTATAAGACCACTAAAACTAACCTTAAATGCCACACAAATTGGGAAAACCAAACATATTCCCCTGGAGATTCCATTTCCTACAATATTTAATCAGAAAATATAATGTACCGCTAAAGGCACTGCATGTGTCACATTTGCAGCAGGCGTCTGTTCTATACATCCTAAAGTTCTAAAGTGGTTAATGTACAGAAGAGATGCAATCAGAAACTTTCAGGAAAATATACAATCTTTTATATATAAATGATAATAAATATTGCTATATAATTATTTTTTTTTAAATTAGTGAACGTATCTGCATTCTGGCCTGAAAGTTTTGTGGAGGATCTAGTGAAGAGTAAGGCATAAAGGTCAGGTGAGGGTGGGGAGAAGGAGAGTAGTAGGTAGGTTCTACTGTAGAAGGAGGGAGAGAAAGAGAAAAGATTGGTCCAGCTGGATCAGAGGAAGACCACCATTTTTTGCTGCACCTGACATTCTGTCTGACCATTAGTGGGCACCAGCTAATGTTTTTTTTTTTTTAGTACTTGTCTCTTCCATGACACTAAACTCTCTCCCACAACAAAAACACAAGTTATTTCCTTCCTCCTTTATATATCCCAAGAGATTTTTGCTGTGATGGCTACACAAAATAGTTAACCAAGTCTTGTATTTTTAAACCAATTTGGTTAAACTGGTGAAAACCCCTATATGAACATTTTAAATTGATATCAGCCATTTTTAAACCAATTTATCTGAAGTTGATTCCTTACTGACAAGTTAAAAAGCCATTTTTACAATTGATTTAGCTTACATCAGTAAGGAATCAACTTAAGATAAAATAATGTCATTTTTAAACCAATTTAAAATATCCACATAGTTGTTTAAAACAGTTTAACCAAACTGGTTTAAAAATGCACACACCTTCAGCTAAACTAGAGCAAGCTACTGCACAGACAAGGCCTAAGAATGGCTAGGTAGAAGCCCTAGGGGATAGCTGTCATTTATTTTTAAAAGTTGGTTGCATGTTTTATCCCCCTCTCCCAACCTTTGCATAGTGCTCATCTTCATAGACTGAGCTCGCCAGGGCAGGAACTGTGTTTTCCTATACATGTTGTACATATTTTGTGCACTACTATAATCCAAAATAACAAATCAGAGTTGAAATACGGTGTGGGTTTCCATCAGCAGGGACTGAACTCGGGACCTCCTGAACTAAAAGCGTGAGTTTTTACTGAAGAGCCAGGCGCAGAGGTAACAAACTTGCATCCTCTGTGGACCGGGTTAGGGGACACACTGCACACTGACCATTGTGTTACGATGGCGTCTTAGGAAAACTATCCATTGCGAATGGCAACATAAATTTAAGACCCAAAAGTTATCTTAAATTCCCAGTGTAACAGGGACCCAAATAGGGAACTGAATATTTCTTGGCATATACATGCTTTATGGCATACTCTAAAGTTTTGTCCAAGATAAACAACTGAACAACATTTTATATGGCGCAATTCTTTTGACAGGTACATTTATTCACGGACAAAACTAGAATTAAAAGTGCCAGAGAACTAAAAGTGCCAGAGAGAACAGAGAGACTAAAGACAAGTTTCAGCATAATTTTATTTATTTGAAACTCTGCAGTCAAAAGGAGAGTGTGGCTCTTATGTTAGGACTCTATGGAGTATCCAATTAAATTTGAAGCTGCTAAATGCTGAAATAATATTTATGTAATTTTGAACTTAACACTCCTTTGCACATCTGGCTAGTAGCCTCTGTTCGTGGCTAAAACCTATAGCTTCAAAGTAGATTTTGAACAGATGTTTCTAATCTCTCATTTTCCATGAATACACACTGGAAATTCTGTGCTTACAACAACCTTTCTGTAGTTAATGCCATCAAACTATTACAAAGAAGGGTTTTTATAGAAATGGATACCATTATATTTTGCTGAAACACTATAATTTAGTACAAACATACTTAACAAGATCAAACAACTATAAGAACAAAAGCCAATCAATGAGACTAAACCTCTTAGTTTAAAAAAAAAAAATACTAGTGATCACTATTTAAACAAAAAAACGGAATAAGTCAAATTCAAGCATTATTTACAGAAGATATACAGTATACTTAGAATAAAATGTAGCAACCAGAGATGAACTATTTATTGTAAGTGGAATTTCTAAGAGGGGAAGGATGAGAGATATGGTCTAATTTTCTTCTTCCTTCCTATTGCCTGACTTGAGACAGACTAAAGGAAGCATAAATATAATCACTGAAATCTACTTTTTTAGCTGTCAACTTCCCAAGGCCCTAATATACAAACAGAAAAAAATATATTTATTCTACGTTCCTCACATGATGTGGGTTTAAGTGAGCTAAGCAGCAGGTTTGTGCAGGAGACATTTGAGTCTGCAATGATGGCTATCCCTTGGTATGATGGACAATTGAGAGATGGACAATGAATACCTACAGATACAGCAGAAGGGATAGTACAATGACAACCCAGTAAAACACAGAAATGGAGGGTGAGGATGTGCAGTGAACTGAGACAGAATCAGCAAGGAAAGAGGAAGAGAGAAGGGAAAGGTTGAGAAAATGAATGAAGAGAGCATAAGGAGGAAGAGGGCTCATCCCAGAACAGCATGGAGCACATGAATATTGCACAGCCTCCTTGAGTGATACAGGGATTTGGGAAGGGGGCAGCAGGGAAGAATTTCACTCCTTTAGTTTCTTACTAGACAGCAGTGGCTTCTAACTATCCTTCACAGTAACCCTTTTAATACTTGTTATGTAAGAATCAAAGATTTAGTGTGTGGAGAAGTGAAAGCCCATGTGAATAAATGGAGGAACCATATAATTTGACAGGAATACAGCTGAGATACTCCTCTCTTTTGCAGATTTATGAGCCCATCTGCCTCTGACATTGACAGCTCAGGAGTAACAGTATCAAGAGGCAGCAATAATCTTGTAAATTGCTGCACTGCAAAGGTACATGAAAACAGGAAAGTGGAAATGTATCATAAAAAACAAGACTAGCCAACTGACACAGAGCGCTTAGATAACATCGAAAAGGAAAACCAGCTGTCGACACCAAGAGGCTCAGCAGCTGCATTTCACTGATTATTTTTTTCCCTCTCCTGCCACAATTTGCCCACTTTGTTTCCTGATGCATCTACAGAACAGGGAATTTTTCCACTGGTTCTGAATGCAGCAACTTTATCATTTAAAATTACCTGCATTGTTATTTCATTCATGCTGCCCAGCCCATTCTGATGCTGGGTCCAGGTACCTTCTATGTGTGTTCTAAAGTCCCAGCAGTGCAGGATTTTCATGGAGACCACCCAGTATTAAGCAGAGGTGCTTTAAATTGACAGAGTAGACAGACCATCTAGCTACACATGGGGGAGGGGCAAATCTCATTTTATGGCCAAGGCAAATATAATGCAATGTGGATTGATATTGCAGGCTGAGCAATAGCAAGGGAAGTATAGCTCTCCCTTTGAAGTTATTTTACTGTTCCTTCCAAGAACTATTATTAAAAAATAATCAGCTCTTCATCCCTCCCATGGAAGAGAGAAAAATTCTGTTTAGAAACCAAGACCCTGATCTTGCAATCTGATGCATGCTGGTAGCCACTTACCCCTGCGCAGGATCAACAAGGCTCTACATGGGCACAAGATCTGCCTGCACAGATCCAATTGCATGACTGGGGCCCTATGGTATCAGACAGGTAGAAGAGGATTTACCAGACCAGTGTTTTCTATGAACTCCCTCCCTCATCTCCTGCATTTAGAACCAACGATAATGAGGATTTTAAAGCCTTTGAGCAATGGGATCTCTGTCGCAACTGCATTTATCAACAAGGTCCTTCCTCCTCCCTACCTTTTGGTTCCACCCCTTTTAAGTATGCCTTTGATCTCTTTTAGAAATCGAGACCCCACCACTGAATTTGGAATGAGTAGCAGTCCCCCTGCCATGTCTAAGGTTAGCGTCCTTTTAAAATAAAATGATCAGATATCTTTTTATAAGCTTTTACTTTTTCTTGTATTGTAAGAGACGTAAACATTTTCATAGGGTTTTCCCTGCCTTCCCTCTTTGATTTTAATGCAACTGAAAATAAAGGGATTATTTTTAATCGTAATGTTGTGGCTGCAATGTAATAAGCTTAATCTGTATTATGCAGCAGCATCACTGATCTAACTACTGCAGGAGAAATGGCATTTCTTGGTTAGCTGCTGCAGAGCCAGAAAAGGGTCATGGAGCATTTTATTTTTGTAGTTACTATATATACAGATACTATTTTTAGATTTCTCAGCAAGGGACAGTAGCATGAAAAAAACAAAAACCTAAATATTTAAGAACTCTAGAGGGTTCTAAATCTTTGACACTGTCCTTTATAATGCATGTTCCCCACATTCCTAAAACACATAACTTTATAAACCAAGCAACAGAACTTAAACTCTGTAATTTTTGTTAACAAGAAACAAGAATTAGGTTACATTTTTGAGAAAGACAAGATTTCAGTGGAGGCAAAACATTTTCTTTAAAATCATGGCTAATTTCAGGGGGAAAAAGCCAGGCCTAGAGGATTTAGTACTTGGCTTAGAACTTACATTAAAAGAAAAATGTTTTTATTTTCAATTGTCAGGACCTCTTCCCACCCCCCAACCTCCATGTTTGAAATCAATGCTCTTCCCCTGCTCCTAATGACATGACTGGATTCCACAGCTGTGGAAACAGAGCAAACCATAACAAGGTTTGATGTTTGTGACTACTGCTGAATTTATCTAACAGAAAATGTATCACGTGGCTGGGAATAACCGCATTTTTCCTGTGTATTTTATGACTGCCAATATTACTGAGTAGAACTTCTAGCTGCACAGTACATTTTAAGAGAGTTTCATACATCTGTAATCAAGTACATATCCTTTGCAGTGTTGTGATGGCCTAAATGCCAATTTCCTGGGACATGTGAGGACTGGCTTTTAAACTTGCGAACAGCTTGTCAGTACCTGTCAAAAGCAGCCTGTACTGGGGAATCCTCTGAACTGGCTTGAGGAGATAGTGCTTGAGTGCCAGACTAGCACAGCGAGGACTCATCTGAAAGACAAACACCCAAAATAAATATCCACAGTCCTTGAATAGTCAATTCTCTGCTACCCAAAGAAGTTGTGCCTCTAAACAATTGACTTTTACTTGTGTGCTGAAAAGGCATGCATTCTGTTATCCTGCTTAACTCCACAGCAGTACATATAAATCTAAGCTGCCTAAGTCAGCCCTCAGCTATGCTCAAGTAACATTTATCTGTAGGCCCACTTGCTGTAGTATTGCTAGTAGCCAGATCTGATCATTCCTCCACACAGAAGAACACACACAAAAATAGTATGTCTCACAAGTTAGGAAAATACATAACAGGTAAACACTGGAATTCTATGCAAAATCAAAACACCTGCCTTCGTTCTAAGAAAAGAATTTTATGAATCTCCCTCGAAATAAGGGAAACCTGTCAGCTAGCAGTGAAGGTAACCTGGTGGCATGCTCATTTGGAATTGCAATTCTTATCAATCAGACAGAACTGTAGTGAAGTCTGCAGTGTTCATTACAGAAGTCTCTAAGTGGTACAGAGCCCAAAGACACAACAGAGAGATAACCCTTTTTAAAGGGTCATGCTCCAACATGTTTTAATTCCATGGGTTGGGTGATTTGGCCCTCCCATCACTTCTTCCAGTTCAAAATGCCTGAAAATCATTTATTTTGAGGTAATGCTACTTGTACATGAGCAACACTGACAAGAAGCACCTTCACTAACAGGGATAGGTTTTATCTCTTTCTTTGCTAACTGCTGTCTTGTTTCTCTCTCTCCTACATCCCTTTGCTCTCTCCTCCTTGTCCCTGCTGCAAGTAGCTTATCTAGCCATGCACACACCCAACACATCGAAGCACCTGATGCTGGCCATGCAAAGCAGGCTTACATTTGTGAGCGCACACCTAGTGGGGCTTGGTGAGAAACAGGCCCTCTGTGACCAGAAGATAGCTATGGCTGAAGCCTGGTCTACCCTGGGGGAGAGGGGGAATCGATCTAAGTTACGCAACTTCAGCTACGTGAATAACCTAGCTGAAGACGACATACTTAGACCTACTCACCGCAGTGTCTTCACTGCGGTAAGTCAACTGCTGATACTCCCCCGTCGACTCCGCTTGCGCCTCTCACTCCGGTGGAGTACCGGAGTCAACAGGAGAGCGCTCGGCGGTTAATTTATCGCGTCTTCAGTAGACGCAATAAATCGACCCCTGCTGGATCGATTGCTCTGGAGGTAAGTGTAGACATGCCCGAAGTTATGACTTTTCTGCTGGAAAGGAAGTAGCACTGTACGGAGCTCAGCAGTTGCTTACTGTGTCAGTCTCAACAATTCATTCACTAGTGAATTAATCTCTCTCAAAATAATGACTAATCCTCACAAGTGCTCAGTGATGTTTATTCTGGATTGCATGTTTAGAGTTCACACCTCTTCTCTGATCTGTTTTCAAGGGGATAAAGTGAGAGGCAGGCAGGGGTACTTGGCTTTTGCATGATTATTGCACGTGCTCGGTTAGAGGGCATTTTGGAAGAGGAACTGGTTTGTTTTATTTTCAGGTTCGAAGCTCAAGAAATTCACTTTCCCAGGTTTCCATTCCAAACCAAACACAGAATGTGAAGGACTACATTCTGCCCTCATTTTTACACTGCAACCCCAATCAAATCAATGAGTTTACAATGGTAGAAGTCCGTGCATAATTTGACCCAGACTCAAACTTTTAGAAGCGACTAATGATTTTGGCTGTCCATCTTAAACCACACTAAAGAGGCCTTATTATTAGAAAGTGCTGAGCCTTCTGAAAATCAAGTCCCTTTAATATGTCTCAAATTGGACACCCAAAACCACTAGCCATTTTTGCAAATCTAGGCCACAGTGGTTACATTCTCCTTCCTTCTACCCCACTGGTCCCCAACTGGGACCTAGAAACAAAGAGGAAAAACTAAATCTTTACAGCCTCACAAAAGAGCACCAGAGTTAAGAAACCAGAAATTAAGATCTCTCTTGCAAAAGAAGAAGATACCTCAAAATCTTTAACTACAGCAGCAAAACTAGGGTTCTTCTTGCATTGTTCATCTAGCAGCGCAACATTCTTATCAAATTCTTTGATGTAAGTTGAATACATCTTTAAGTAGGGTCCTTTTTTCACAAATATATCAGCGATTCTTTGATAATCAATCCTGAAAAAGAGAAGTAATTAAAACAGCACAGAGCTATATAAAAATAAACCTATGATTTAGAAACCAGCAGAGCTGATATTCTCTGTCACTTTCAGAGCTCAGTAGTGGATTAAAAAGAAGGCTTATTAAATAAACAGCTCGTGCACTGGCAGGCAACCTGTGGTCCGTGGGCAGCCCGTCAGGGTAATCCGCTAGCGGGCTGCCAGACAGTTTGTTACATTTGCATGGCCGCCCGCAGATCCCAGCACTTCCCTGGGGCCCGCGCCGCTTCCCGAGCTGCCATTGGCCAGGAACGGCGAACCGCGGCCACTGGGAGCTGCGGGCGGCCATGCAAATATAAACAAACTGTCTGGCAGCCCACCAGTGGATTACCCTGACAGGCCGCAGGTTGCCCACCACTGAGCTAGTGCTTATCTCGCTGGGGAAACCAAAAAGTGTATGTTAATTCTGTTGTCGTTGTTAAATTCTTTGTTTCTCCTCTCCAAATGAGATAAGCATTGATGTGCTGGCATCTCTTCCTGTAGAGTGAAACAGGGAACTCAATTTTCAAACACTCACAATTTAGTCATGTGCCTATGGCCAAAATGTTCAAAAATAGGAACCTAAACTTAAGCTCCTGGATTCATATTTAGGCACCAGATTGAGGCCAATGGAAGTGTGAATGTTTGGCCTGATTTTTTGAAAGTGCTGCTTACCTCGATGCCAAATACAGATTCAAGAAGCTTAACTTTAGGCTTCTATTTTTGAAGAACTTAGCTTTGGTCCAAAATCCTGTTGCTCAAATACATGCATATGTCCAATTAATGCACCCAAATGTCAATTCAAGCATCTAAATGTGGAATTTGGATGCCCAGTTAAGGTGCCCTCATTTGAAAATTAGGTCCTTAGGCTCAGAAGTCAGCTCTGGAGTCTAAAAAGCACATAGATTACAATAGAGCAAATTTCTGCTGACAGCAAAATTCACTTTACTCCAGAGTTAAATATTAAAACCATGGGAAAAAATTGCATTCTTATTGATCATTACCAGTGAGAAAGTCTCTCTTCTAATTCTCTGAGGAGGTCCCGATTAAGTTCATACAGCTGAGGTAGGTAGTACAGGATCTGATTCAGGATCCTATCCTCAATCACTGGCTTTCCTAGCTGCCTGGAAGCATGTGCCACTGCATCCCGGAAATCCTGTTGGAGTACAAAGAGGAAAAAAAACAAAAAACACTTCACTGAGAGACTGGCCTTCCGGCAACAATACATATGACAGTATTTCCCTTGCAGAAATGCTGCTGAGTGTTACCTATTACAGAGGGTGAGATGGTACCATCTGTTTTATGTTACTGTGTGGCTTTAACTCAGGGCCTGTCTACAAGGGGAGTTATTCCCAGTGCCTGCAGAACTTTTGGATGCAAAAAGTCACATTCCTGGGTCCATGTGTTGAGTTTGAACTAGCCCTCCAGTGCACAGACATCAGAACGAGAGCTGCATTGACAGATGAGAAGCAAGTGGCGATCACACTGTGGAAGCTTGCAATGCCAGACTGCTATTGATCAGTGGGAAATCATTTTGAAGTTGGAAAAATCTACAGTGGGGGCCATGGTCATGCAAATGTATGGGGACATTGTTTCCTGCTACACAGGACCGTGACTCTCAGCAATGCGCAGGGAACAGTGGATGGATTTGCAGCAATGGGGCTCCCAAACTGTAGTGGGGCGACAGACAGCATGCACATCCCCATTTGTAGGAAGGTGGGCTGGTGCCAGAATACAGTCACAGAAATGGCTACTTTTCCATGGTTATGCAAGTGTTGGTGAATCACTGGGGACACTTCACGGATATCAATGTGGGCTGGTCAGGGAAGGTGCGTGACACTTGCATCTTTAAGAACACAGGTCTGTTCAGAAATCTGCAAGTAGGGACAAATCTGTCCTGACCAGCGGATTACCATTGGTGATGTTGAAATGCCTGTTCAATTACAATGAATGGTGCTTTCAGTAGCACTGGGCATTCTGCCGTATATGTTATGAAGTAATAAAGATTAAATTATTTCCAAAAAATAAAAATTTATTGCATAAGAAAGACAGTGCAAAGACTATTGTGCAGTTAAAAATGGTACAATGCAAACTTATAAAATAAATGGAAACAGAACTTTAAAATTAGAACGCTAGAAAAACATTCGTGTCCAGTTCAGTCCATTTCTGCCAAACATACACCAACCACGTGAAGCTGTGATTTTCCTTACTGTCCCCCGGCCTGGAGTGGCAGGGATAGGGATGCAGCCCATGATGTCATGTGGAAAGTTTAGAGGGAGTTGGGGTAAGGAACTGCGGAAATGGAATTCCTCACTGACTGCAAAGGAAGGTGAGCCTGGGATCGTTGGACCCGGTCAAGAAGTTGGCAGCATTTGTGTTTGCTGGCTGAGAACCCCCATTATGTCCTGGTGCATCTCCCTCTCCTTTTCCTCCTAGGACTTTCTCCAGTCTGCGCTTTCCTTCTCCAGGCTGTCTGCTATATTCACCCTCCAGGCCTTCTGTTCAAGATCCAGTGAAGCACTGGCTTTCAGGATCTTACTGAACATGTTCTCCCTAGTTCGCTTCTTTCTCCTCCTTCGGATCAGGCATGCCGCAGGTGTGGAGGGGGAATCCCTCAAGGCTGCAGGAGCAACTACAGAAAACAAACACACAGATGTATCATTGTATTTATAATCACAACAGAAAGCAAATGATAAGTTTCAGAACTCCCCTCTCTTATTCCCATAAAAATTTTAAAATCAGACCTGCTTATTGACACTTCAGGTTTGGAATGCCTCTGTGCAGCACTACTGCCCAGCCACAGCCATGGTGACTATGGCCTGCCGGGGGTGGGGGGGAAGAGGAGGGAATTATTCAGTTGCATAAAATAAAATAAAAATGTGGCCCTCGAGTACAGGACAATGCACTGAATACTAGCACTCTTTTCCACAGGCAGTGGTGATTTAGCGGATCTCTCATTCCTGAGGGTAACAAAGGCACATAGCACAGCTGCTGCTGGGCATCCCCAAGCCGCCCGGTCCCATATGCCACTAGCCCGTTTACTGCAATAAAGTCATCACAAAGTGGAATGGGACAGTGTCCTATAGAGGAGGAAGAAATAAGGCAGCCATCTCCAGAAACCTTCAGGAAAGGATTACGGAGTACCTCCATGAAAGATCTCAACAACTCCTCTCGGGAGGCTACAATGGATATCCCAATGTACATAAACAAGCTGCTTCACTTCTGTCTCCCACCCTCCCCCCTGCTTAACCCTACAGGGGAATGAAAAGCAGATAACTCTACCACTGTTTGTTGTATCTCTCTCTCTCTTCTCCTAGGAAGAAAATGGAAAGCAAATATCTGCATCCTGCCAACATGGGGCTGGGTCGGGTGCCATTTTCAGGTTTAAACTTTGTAAGGGTGAATACATGCACACACTTACCCAAGGTTCCTGCCCCTAGATCAGGGTCATCCATGCTTGGCTGGCAGGACTAGAATGTGATGGAGTCTCAAAGAGATCCTGGCTCATTGCATGGCTGGAGCCCCTGCTGCATATCCCTCCTTCTCACTGTACAGAGCAGGGGTATCTCACGGATTCCGCCGAGGTATCCACGCTGGTCTGAGGATGGTGGTGTGGTCTCCAACAAGGATGGCATGCAGTTCATTGTAAAAGCAGCAGGTCTGTGGCTCAGCACCAGACTGACTGTTAGGCCCCCTGGTCTCGTGGTATGCCTGCTGCAGTTCCTTCACTTTCATGTGTCACCGGTGCTGACCCCTGTTGTCCTCTTTCACCTGCATCCATCCTCTGTACAATCTTTTCGTAGCTGTCAATGTTTCTACAGCTGATCCGTAGTTGTGCCTGCACAGGCTAGTCTCCCGACAGGCCCAGGAGATTCAATTTCTCCTGACTACTCTAGACAGGAGTGCATATAGAATGTGTAGCCAGCGCAGTTGGCTGGGCAGTTGCACACAACAGAGGACAGCTGTTAGGTATGCTCACTTCGAACATATGCAGGCGGTTTTAGGGTGGGGGGGGGTGGCTTACGGTCTCCCTGACCCCCAGAGTTGTCACTGCTGGGCACAGTGGGGCAGCTACTGGAGGACTATTAGCGTCAACACAGGTTGCACAGTGTCTACACTTGTTCTGCATTGACCACAGTACGTCGACCATGGCTCAGTGCCATTCGGGGAGGTGGTTTTACTGTTTCACCGTAACAAGGTGCCTATGTTGGCAGAAGACAAGTTTGAATGTAGACACATGCACAACTAGGTCGACATCTTACATCAGCCTCACTTTGTAGGGTAAGCCAGGCCCTAGAGAAAACCAACCAAATGACACTGGGGCTGTCAGGGTTTTTTTTGTTTGTTCTTTTTTTAATATCATAAATAGTTTGGTACAATCAATATTTACCTACGATAGGAAAACTGATCGTTCATCCTAGAAGGTGGTACATTCTCTATGCTACAAAAACCTCCCAAACAGTTCAGGCTATCATGTTTATTTGGTCCTCACTGAACATATAGGGTGAAAAACCTGGCCCCCCTGAAGTCAATGAGAGTTTTGCCATTGACTTCAATGGGGCCAGGATTTCACCCATGGGTCCTGAGTATCTTTTCCACCACTTACAATGAAACTTACAAGATTTTTAAAAATCTTGTAACACCAGTGTACCTTACTTAAACAGTTGAATAACTCTATATGATATGAGCTAAGTCAATGTCTAGGATGCCAAAGGGAGGAAAAACTGAACTACAGGCACTTGGCTCCTATAGCCTCTCAGAACAACTTTCCCCTGGAGCCGAGTGATGCTGGGGTGAAGGAGGGTGAGAGGGCACCTCACAGCCATCCATACCAGCTCTCTCAGTTAACAGTTCCATCACTCCAGCACCCCTCTCTAGGCCCATCCACCCAAACATCCCTGTCACCATCTCCCAGCAATATCCCCACAAGCTCCAATTGCATGGTTCCATGGGTCACAAAAGGCTGGGATTGGGTAGTTTGTGGCAAAAAACTGCAGGTGGTTTTTGGGCAGTGACTAGAAAGGAAAGGTCAGGAACTACCACATTAGAGTTTAAAAAAACAAAACAAAACAAAGCAGATGGCCTTATTCATATGGAAATGCTCTTTCACACATCATCTGTGCAGACTAGTGTCACATAGCTTACGATCAGCTGCAGGGTTTCCTGATCTTAGGGCAATGGTTTACAAACTTTTAACTAAGGCGACCCATCAACTGAATTTTGTGGTTTTTTTACAACCCACCACTATAAATACATACATTATACAGAAACCACCATTTACTATAGAGGGACCAGACAGCAAGTATGAAAAATCGGGACAGGGGGTGGAGGGTAATAGGCGCCTATATAAGAAAAAGCCCCAAATATCGGGACTGTCCCTATAAAATAGGGACATCTGGTCACCCTAATTTACTATCTTTAAATCCTGTAATGGTGCAACAGTAGGACTGATTTTGTATTAAACTTCATAAAAACAGTATTGTATTAAGAAAAGTTGTCACATGGGGTATTGCTGTCAGATCCCAGCACTCATTAAAAAACCACCACCACCACAAACCAAGGCTGGATTAATGCATAGGCAAACTAGGCACATGCCTAGGGCCAAAATTCCTGTGGAGAGGGACCACCAAAAATCATACAGTAGTCTCCTTCCCATCCACAGCCTCCTCCTTGCTCTGCCGAGGGGGGCACAGACCATCTGCAGCAGCACCCTCTGCTCTGGTACCACAACCCAACTTGTTGTAGAGAAGAGGCATTGGCTGCCTGGCCATCATGATGGAGGGGTGACCAGGCCAAAACCCAAGTGGTGTTGTGACCCCGTATGCCAGGTGGCAACACCTGGAGCGCAGAGCCAGGCCCAGCCTCCTGGGACAGGAGCCGCTGCTGTGAGGTGAGTGCAGGGCGGGCTTGCTCTCCAACACCCCCACTCCCAGGCCTCCCCTCTGGGCCCATGACTCATTCAGAACCTTCCTATGACCTGACCCACAGCTTCAGGGCACTGCTTAATGCTGAAACGATACAAGGAATTGCAATGACTAACACAGCCTAAATACAGGAGTCCTGAAGAGCTTTGGGCAAAATACATCATGTTTAGTACTTGTAACTGGTACACTTAGCAAGAGCAGACACTTACTGAATCTGATACATAAGCCAGCA